TCGCCCCCCCCGCCCCCCCCCCCCATGCCCTCACCAGTTGCACAGCTAGGCTTGAGTTACATTTGGGGCACCACCATCTGGGCTTGTGCCCCCTAGCCCGACCCTCCACTCTAAAGAAGGTCATGAAGTGATTGTACCTAGTACTGTTCCCCCACCACCCTCCTGCAGCAGACTGTGGCATGTGTCCATTTCCTCTCTTTGACGTCTTCCATATTGTACGTTTCCATAGCAATGATCCCTTGGCCTTAACTTTGGAATTTGGAGACTATATGCAAACATGTAAAAAGGCTCATGAGTATGGATGACACTGGAATTTTATAAATTCTAAAATAAAACCTGAAACAGCTTGGCGTGTCACGGATATTATTTCTGCTGGTGGGCTGAGATCCAAGGCAGCCCTTGCCTGGCTGGGCGTACCTGGTCTGAGGGGTTCCCTCTTGCATGCAAGAGCCTCTGCTGCAGCGATGCCCTTGCTGAGACAGGATTTGTGTTGCAGGAGGAGGTGAGAAGGCCACTGGGCAGCGGCAGAGGGAGGTGTGGGGACACTGCCCGTGTAGGGGAGGAGAGGAAAGCACCAGCCGTGGTCCCTCTTGCTTACCTCCTCCAGAACCTCTCATCTGCCTTCTGCGACAGGCCCCCCTGCACAGCACCCACAGGCTCTGTGGCAGGCCAAGCTTGGCACAGGGGCTGCCCCGTGGGAGGGTCACAGCGTGCCCGAGGAGGAGCCGGGTGGCAGCCCTTGGGTCCCGGCCCCGTGCCGTGGGACGTGCTGCAGCGCTCAGCTGCTGGCCAACTGCTCCCTTTCCCAGTCCCTGCCTGCAGCTGGGTCCGTGACGCGGGCCTTGCTTCTTGTCTCCCGTCGCTCCAGGAACACCTGAATCACAGAAAAAGGGAGCTGGTGTTTGCAGAGGCTGTGCAGCTCCTTACATGGCTGCCTTCTTGCTTAGCCTGCGTCTCTGTGCAAGTTAAAAGCAGAAGAGGCTTTAAAGGAGGAGCTGCCGCAGCCCACCTTGTTCTCAGCCAGGGCCTCCTTGGCCAGGTACCGCTCGCGCTTCACCTTGACCTCGACGGACTCAGGAATGTCAGGTACCAGCCACGCAATCACACGTCCAGTGAAGAAAACGACGTGCTGGAAGCGAGCAGGGAGGCGCAGGTTGGCCAAGGTGGCAGGTCCTCACCCCTAGCCCTGTGCCTTGAGCCACCCTGCAGGGCTCAGCAGCTGGTACCTCGAACACAATGATGAAGCCCAAGCGTACGGCCAGCAGCTGCCAGTGAGTCAAGGTGAAGTTGCCATCCCGGTCCCTAAAGGCTCTGTACCTGTGGGAGTGAAGTGCAGCTGCTGCCGCCTCTGTCCCCTCCACGGCAGGTGACACCACCAGGTGCTGCTGCCTGCGCCCTCTGATCTCCCAGCCCAGCGTATGGGGTGCAGCAGAACCAGCCCTTGGCCAGGACCCAGGCAAGTGCAGGTAGCCCAGCCCCAGGGGACTTTCTCCTTTGCAAAAACACCTCCCTCCATGACCGGGGAGCTTTTGTTCCAGCCCCGGGCCGAGCCAGGCCAGGCAAGCAGCCCCCTGCATTGCCCCATTGTGTGGGACCTAAGGAAAGTGGGTGGACAACCTGGCCCCAGCTAAAGGCCGCTGTGCTAAACAAAAGAGTTGCTGTGGTGGCAGCAGTGAAAGCCACGTGCAAACTGAAGCACATGAGGCAAGGAGCCAGCCGAGGTGGGAGGGGGGCTCCCACCTGCACGTGGTGTTGCTCTGCAGGACGAAGTCCCACGGCGCGTATGCCAAGGTGAAGTTCACGTAGCCATGCAGGCCGCTGTCGTGGACATGCTGATAGTACAGGCGGGACAGGAAATCAGAGGTGAAGGCGATGAGGAAGGCCTGCGAGCAGGGAGAAGGGCTGCAGCAGGTCCTGCTGCTGGGGTATGCCCCAGTCCCCCGGCAGGACCTCCTCCGTACCCTGTGCTCCTGAGGTAGCTTTCCACCTCTTTGCCCACAGCCTGACAAACCAGACAAGAATGCTGCTCAGTCCTAGACAGCAGCTCGCTGCTCATGGTGCTGTGTCCTGCTCTCACCCTGCAGTTAAATCCAAGCAGGGCTGTGTGCCCTGGAGGGTGATGGTTTCCCATCGCCCACGGCTGGAGCTGCACCTTCTGCAAAGCCAGACCCACCCCAGGTACAGCAGCTCCCCTTGTCACTCAGCATCCCGCAGTGGCCAAACCAGTTTTTTCTCCGAAGCCCTGGGTGCCTCTTGCAGTCCCCTCCCCCCCGCCTGGCTGCCCAGCATGCATACGTTGCTGATGATGGCCAAGTGAGTGATGGCCTCCAGGATGGAGAACCAGATGCCGATGCCCTGTGCCCGCTCAGCCACTGGCCGCCGATAGTCACAGATGAACTTGTGGGCGTCCAGGCGGATCTCCACCCAGTTGTTGAGCAGAGCAAAGAGGGGTGCCAGGGGACAGGCCACCACAAAGATGGTGATAAAGCCAAACTGCAGGACTGAGAGGAAGAGGAAGCACAGAGAGGTCCAGGTGAGAGACAGCCGCAGTAGCTGCAGCATCTCCCAGCCCTATCCCCTAGGGAGTGGGGCAGCCCTTCTCCCCTCAGCACCTACCAGCTGCTCAGAGCAAAAGCTCCCATGGCTGGTCCCTTTCTCCAGGGAGCTATTGCAGCTCTTGCCTCTCCTCACCAGCTTCCTCCCAGCACTTCAGCCCTCCTCACCCCAAGACTGGTCCCTACCCATCTCCAGGTATTCATCAAACAGCCCCTCAAACACCAGCAGCTGGTGGTCCATCACCCAGGGCGCCTGCTCCACTAGGACCGAGTCCCCCTCTTTGCCCGCCTTCTTGCTGGAGAGGAGCTTGTTCTTGTGCCACCAGCACTTCAGCTTCCTGGGGAGACGAGAGAGGCCATGTCCCCCGCTGCAGCCCGCTGACATTGCTCAACACCCCCTGGGCAGAGCAGAGCCCCAAAGCGCCCATGCTGCGTAGGCTTGGGGGTGCACGATGGCTCCAGCGAGCCACAGTGTACTCACGGGATGGCCACCTCCTGCACGTTGTTGATGATCTGCTTCCCCACCATGATAACCAGCAGCTCCTGTGCCAGCTCAATGAAGCACCCACCTGGGCTGCACTGGGGTGAGAGAGGGGCCCTCAGCCTGCCGGGTCTGGCGCTCAGGGATGGGAGGAGGACCCCGAGCACGGGAAAGCTTCCCTGCAGCGCGCACTGGCCCCAGCTGGGGTGGCAGGCACGGTGTATCTGCCACCCGGCACTCACCTCTTCGTTGCGGACCCCCAGAAAGCTCTGGTAGTTCCCAGGGTAACCAACGAACCTGCAGGAGCAGAGCCGTGAGCAGGGATCCCGGGCACTGAGCCCAGGATGCACCCAGAGGGACACCAGGGAAGGAAGGGATTGTCCTCCCTCGCCAAGGGGAACAAAAGGGCTGTCAGTGGTTGCCTCTGATGGAGAGGGTCTCCCAGCTCCAGACTGGGACCAGTTGCACCAGTTAGCCCACAGTGGGCTGGCACTGCCCTCAAGCCCAGGCCCTGTGAGGGCTCCCACTCTCTGGTGGGACCACACCACCTGCTGTGGTGCTCCTTGCCCATGATGGCAGCAGCACTCTTCAGGGGCTGCAGGAGATGGGCAAGACCCCTGCTCCCCACAAAGGCCTTACTTCCCCTTGAAGAAGGCGATGTAAACAGGAGAGGAGTAGAAGGTGACAAACTGGAAGATGAACACTTTGAAGGTGAAGGCGTCCTCATACTTGGTCTGGGTGCGGTGCATCTCTGCCAGGGGGAAGCACAGGGATGTGACTCTACACTGCTTCAGGACGCTTTTCCACATCATCGTGAAATTCACCCCAAATTGCTCAACTTTAACCAATTCTACCCCCTTCCCAATCTCACTCCCACCCCGGCTCAGGGCCCTCAAACCCACTGCAGTACCCATTTCAATGGGGACCTTTCAATGGCACCTGCCGCTTGTCCACAGCCTGGAGATTCCTTTTGCTTTTCACAAAAAAATAATCTTTCTCTGCTCCGCTTTGTGGCTCATTAAATACAACAAAAATATCCCACATGCTTTTCTTCTCCAGACCTCAAAAATCAGCTTGGATACTTCCATTGAAAACCTCCAGCAGTTGAACCCTACAGACTTTTTTTTTTTTTCCTTTCCTTTTTTTTTTTTTTATTCCTCGGGACTTGTCCTTCGTCTTGGCCTCCGGGATTCTCCTTCTCTCTCTCTTTCTTCTTTTCTCCTTTTTTTTTTTTTTCCTTTCTTTTTTTTTTTTTTTCCTCTCTGCTGCCAGAACACTTTTCACTGAAGGTCTTATTTTTCCAGCTCTCCTCTCCTCCATAAAGCCATGGTCCTCCTGATTGTTCTTGGGTTTGGTGCTCTGCCCTTACTGACCACTCCCTCCTGTCACCACCCGGCTAGCAAAACCCTTGTCAGCTTACCCCACTTGGTGAGGAAATGAGCCAGGGAAATATATATCTTGGAGAGGATGAGGATGAAGATGAGGTTCACCACTGAGCCAGTGATGCTGGCAATGCGGGATGCCTAGAGGGAGAAGCAACACACAGAGCTTGGAAGGTGGTGAGCAAGCCCAGCAAGTGAAACAGGTCTGGGAGTGGCTCTGGCCACCTCTTACCGAAGCCACAAACCAGAAGTATCCTGAGCTGGAGAGGAGGATGGCGACCACTGTCCGATAGAGGATAACAGAGACCAGGAACATCACCACCACGGCAATCTGCAAACATAGCGTGAAGCAGCTTGTGTTGGGAAAGAAAAAGCAGAAGTAGAGAGACCAGCAGAAGTAGGGACGTGCCCTGTACTCGGCACTGGTGAGGCCACACCTCAAGTATTGTGTCCAGTTCTGGGCACCTCAATACAAGAGAGATCTGGAGGTGCTGGAGCGAGTGCAGAGGAGGGCAACGAAACTAGTGAAGGGCCTGGAAGACAAATCACATGAAGAGCGGCTGAAGGAGCTGGGACTTTAGTATGAGGAAGAGGAAGTAGGGAGACCAGCAGAAGTAGGGACGTGCCCTGTACTCGGCACTGGTGAGGCCACACCTCAAGTATTGTGTCCAGTTCTGGACACCTCAATACAAGAGAGATCTGGAGGTGCTGGAGCGAGTGCAGAGGAGGGCAACGAAACTAGTGAAGGGCCTGGAAGACAAATCACATGAAGAGCGGCTGAAGGAGCTGGACTTTAGTATGAGGAAGAGGAGGCTGAGGGGAGACCTCATCACTCTCTACAACTCCTTGAAAGGACACTGTAGAGAGGTTGGTTCTGGTCTCTTCTCACAGGTAATTAACGACAGAACAAGAGGGAACGGCTTCAAGCTCCAACAGGGTAGGTTTAGACTGAACATTAGGAAGGAATTTTTCACAGAGAGAGTGGTCAGACACTGGAATAGGCTGCCCAGGGAGGGGGTTGAGTCACCATCCCTGGATGTGTTTAAGGGACGTTTAGATGGGGTACTGAGGGATATGGTGTAGGGGAGGACTTTGTAGAGTAGGGTAGATGGTTGGACTCGATGATCCCAAGGGTCTCTTCCAACCTGAATGATTCTATGATTCTATGAAAACATGATTAACCCAGGGCACTACGAGTCCCAGGGGAGTTTCAAGGTGGGCAGCTGAGCAGGGGCACAGCAGGGTGCAAGTGGAGCGCCACAGGTTCCACCGTAGACCAGGGACACCTGTGTTCATCCTCATCTTAACCCACACTCTCTTATCCCAAATGGATCCCATCCCACCACTCCCAGACAGTGGGCAGGCACTGCTCCAGCCCCTACGATCTTACCATCATTATGATGACCATTGAACCAGCCAAAATCCGGTGGAGGCGGCTGCGCTTGGGGAAATACGGCTCTTCTGCCCCTGTTATAGGGTTTGTTATCGTCATGGGAGCCATGGCTGTGAACTGAGGCCTTGGCCGCTCCTAGAAGAGGGGGAAAGGTGTCAGGGATGCCTGGTAGCTTTGGTCTGTGTGGTTTTGGGAGGCATTGCAGAGGGCCAGACCCCACCTCGATGTCCTCAAACTCGGAGCAGTCCCAGTGGTGAGCAAGGGATGCATTGGTCCGCTTCCAGAATTCCAAGAACAGCACTGCCCACAGGGACATGAAGATGCTGAAGAAGATGGTCCCACCATGGTCAAAGAGCCGCCCTGCCTGTGGGCAGAGTGGAGCTGATGGTAGGTCAGGACAGCAGGGACTGCCCTCTGCACAGTTGCTGTGGTAAGTGCCAGGTCCTCGGTGTCCCTGAGCCATGGGGGAGTTGGGGAGGGAAGGTGGAAAGGGCCACCCGGGAGCCTTCACTGGGGAGGGAGGGATGGGAAGACGGGTGGGTGAGGAAGTACCAGGACAGCAGGGGCTGAGGTGGAGAGGTGGACAGGGACAGCACAGGCTAATCACAGAATCGCCTAGGTTGGAAGGGACCTTTAAGATCATCTAGTCCAACCATAAAAAACAACAACAACACAAACAAACAAACAAACCCAAATAAACCCCACCACACACCACACCAACCAACACTAAACCATAGCCCTGAGCACTGTGTCAACCCGTCTTTTGAACACCTCCAGGGATGGTGCCTCAACCACCTCCCTGGGCAGCCCATTCCAATGGCTGATAACCCTTTTGGTGAAGAAATTTTTCCTAATCTCCAACCTGAACCTCCCCTGGCGTAACTTGAGGCCGTTTCCTCTTGTCCCATCGCCTGTTCCTTGGGAACAGAGACCAACCCCCCCGGTTATATCTTCCTTTCAGGGAGTTGGAGAGAGCGAGAAGGTCTCCCCTCAGCCTCCTCTTCTCCAGGCTGAACACCCCCAGCTCCCTCAGCCTCTCCTCAGGAGACTTGTGCTCCAGACCCCCCACCAGCTCCGTTGCCCTTCTCTGGACCCGCTCCAGCACCTCAATGCCTTTTTTATGGTGAGGGGCCCAAAACTGGACACAGCCCTTGAGGTGAGGCCTCACCAGTGCCCAGTACAGGGGACCATCACCTCTCAGGTCCTACTCCCCACACTGTTCCTGACACAGGCCAGGATGCTGGTGCCCTTCTTGGCCACCTGGGCACACTGCTGGCTCCTGTTCAGCCGACAGGCGACCAACACCCCCAGGTCCTTTTCTGCCAGGCAGCTCCAGCCACTCTGCCCCCAGCCTGTAGCGCTGCAGGGGGTTGGTGGGACCCAAGGGCAGGACCTGGCACTTGGCCTTGTTGAAACTCCTCCCATTGGTCTCAGCCCATCGATCCAGCCCGTCCAGATCTCTCTGCAGAGCCTCTCTACCCTCCAGCAGATCAACACTGCCACCCAGCTTGGTGTCGTCTGTGAAGTGACTGAGGGTGCACTCGATCCCCTCGTCCAGATCATTGATAAAGATGTTAAAGAGAACGGGTCCCAGTACCCAGCCCCGTGGGACACCACTTGTAATGTTGGGATGGACATCTCCACCCCAGCCCTGAGCTGCCCTCCAGGACCTCACCATGAACGTGCTGCAGATTGTGGAGAGCTGCCAGTAGGGACAGGTCTTGCAGAGAGGACACATCCAGTACCGCTCGTCGCTGCTGCAGACCTCCTGCCTACAGGTGAGGAAGGAGCAGCCAGCAGCCTGTCAGGGCTCAGCCCTTCCCACCACTCCCCACTGGACTGTTCACCGGCAGTTTTGCCACGAGTGCTGTGGTCAAACCCCAACAGCCAACCCTGCCCTCCTCCCCATCACCCCAGGAGGTCAGAGCACTTACGAAGGTACATCATTGAACATGAGGAAAATGCCCATGATGAACACCACCATCCCCACCACCGCAGCAGGTAAGAGCCATCCTGTGTAGAAACCTGGAGACAGTGGGGATGGGGAGCGTGAGTTCTGCAGTCCTCCACCATGGCCACCGAGCCAAGAGCAGCTCCAGCCACTGACACCTGCCCAAGCACAGCATAGCACCAGCCTAAAACCACACAGGGTTTGGAGGACCTGAGCATGGACCCAGGGCTGCAAGGTACCCATCAGGCTCTAGCTAGTCCTTTTAGGATACGTGGGGCATAGCTCATGGGGCCACCTTGAAACGGAGAACATCCTGGGGCAGGTGGGAGCTGCTGCCTGTGGCCTCTTGCCTGGCACCTGGGAGAGCCAGGAGCTGCTCTGGAGCCGGCAGGGACTCACCCAGCCAGGCGAAGTAGAAAGCAATCTTCTCCCCAAAGTACTTGCGGATGTGATCTAGTGGTTGGTACTTGTTCCACTTCCCCCAGCTGGCCCAGTACTGGAAGAGGACTTGGCGCTGGCTGAGGCTGGAGGCTCCCGGCTGGAGCTTGTAGGGACCCTGCAAGGAGAGGTAGGAGGTGGGTGAGGGGCTGGCCGGGGTGCAGGGCCCGGTGGTGGGGTGGGTCCCCAGGGGACAGCAGGGTCTTGCCTCATGTAGCGGGAAGGCGGCTGTGAAGACGTTCTCACTCAGCAGCCGGACTATCCCCACCTCCCGCTCCCTGGAGTGGCCGTACTGTGTCGTGGCCAGGATCTCGTAGAGCTGCCGGGGCAATGTCGGAGAGGTGAGAGGGGGCAAAGCCTTTCCCCATGGTGGGCAGAGGGCTTCTCACCACCAGTCAGCTTTTTGGCTACCAGTCCAAGCCTGATTCCCAGATGTTGGATGGCCAGAGATGGGTTTCCACCCAGGCCTTTTAATCCCTTCTGGAGTTACTAGCACCCAGTGACCCAGTCTGGGACCTTTGAGACTGTGACAACAGACGACACACCCACTCACAGCACTTCTCCCTGAGACCCTGCAGCCTGCCCGGGACCTAGGTAGAGTCCCTGGGCAGCCCTGCTGCTCACAATTTGGTGCCGCTGGGTGGTGGAGAAGAAGGTGTCCTGCTCATCACTCCCCAGGAACCTGGAAGGGTGTGGAAGAACAGCTCAGCAGAGCCTGGTGCTTGGCAGGCACCACCTCCCAACATAGTTTCTCCTGGGGTGCTCACCAGCGCAGCTTGTTGGCCTTGAAGGGACAGGTGTAGTAGTCCAGTGGCAGGTTGGGAACCTCCTGAGCCATCAGGTTGGGGATGCCCAGCCACTGCAGCACGCTGGCTGACCAGTTGGAGGTCTGCCTGGGCAGCACCTACATGGGCAGCAGAAACATCTCTAGATGAGGGAGCAGGAGCACGACAGCAGCCAATCTGTCTTGCTCCTGCATGTGAGTGTTGTCTTGCTTGAGCGTGGGAGCCTGCTCTTCAAGGATGAGGGAGAGAGGGGATGGAGTGCTGGAGGGGAACAGAAGGGGAACAAGGTGGGATCCCATAACTGTGCAAAGGGGAAGACCAGTTACTGAGAGCTGCTGGGTCCACTGGAAAGGAAGGAGGTTGCAAACCCCATGAAAGACCCACAACAAGCAGCTGCCCAGCCTGTCACCCAGAGTGGGGGCCTTTTTTACCCGTGAGCACTAGGGGTACCACCTCTCATCCCCAGTGAGCTCAGGCACCACAGCCACCCACCTGCAGTGGCACACGGAGCTGGAGCTCCTCAGCGTAGTAGCAGAGCACGCGCCAGGGTGCGCTCAGCAGCAGGTAATGCACCACCTTCTTCTCCGCATGGGTCACGTGCTGTTGGGAGAAAGAGACCCCAGCAGAGATGAGGCTGCTGGCACCAGCACAGGTCTCTGCAGGAGGCACCAGGCTGACTCCGCATGGGTGTGGATCAGCCCAGCAGAGCTGAGCCAGTAGAGAAAAGCACAAGCACATCCCACCCCACATTCTAGCTCAACTGCCTGCGAGCCTGGGCTCCCCTCCCATGCAGGGGCCTCCACAGCATGGCATCCCCCCTCCCAACTCATTGAGCAAAGCTGCAGATATCACAGGGGGTAGAAATTGGAAGTCAGGTCCCCGGGTACCTTCTCCATGTGGATCCCAGAAGCATGAAGCTTGTCCAGAAAGTTCTTCCGCCAGGTCCTGTGGATAGTGGCAGATGTCTCCTGCAAGTCCCAGTTCTCACAGCTGTCCTGCTGCCCACTCAGCTCCCAGGGGACAGTTTCCCACACCAAGACAAAGTCTGCAGCAAGGAAAGGGAGCTGGTATCCCACCCTATGGCTGGGAAGGACAGCAGATGCCGAAGCCATCCCTATCCTGCCTGTCCCTCTCCTGGAGGGCTTGGTGCTCTCACAGGACTGGGTGTTGTCTTGTTTTGCTCACAACGGAAAGACATGTTTGGTCTGGGAGGGGCTGCCAGCCACCTCACCAGGGAGGTTTTAGCACAGTAGGCAGGAAGCTAGAAGACCCTATTAACGTGAATTGGGGACCACGGCCATCTTGCAGCAGGGAAACGCTCGAGCACCCAGGTATGGAAGCACCTGCCAAGGCTTGCAAGAGGTCTGATGCCCTCTAGGTATGCTGTACAGACCAGTCACAGTGGGAAGGACCTGCTGCCACCAGCTCCAGCCATGGACCCCAGGGGCTTTACCCATTCTCCTCAACCCACTGGGCCCCATTCAGCCCCAGTCTCCTTGCCAAGACGGAAAGGAACTGACCTCAAAGACCAGCCCTTCTCCCTCACCTATCCTTGTACTGCCATCGCTGAAGATGTTGGTGGTTCTCTTCTGGCCCAGGACCGAGTTGCTAGGCTGGAAGTAAGGCATACAGGGCAATGAGAGCGGCAATTCCCCAGGTAGCTCCATTGTGAGGGGTGATGGGCTACAGCCACCCACCTGAGGTATTTCAATGGCCTCCTCACTCAGGCTGCCATAGCGAGCGCCTCTGCTGTCCTGACCCACCAGGCTGCAGCAGGGATCCTCCGTGGTCCTCCTCCTCTGCATGGCAAACCTTCATGTCCCTTTCTCCTGGTGCTGAGAAGCAGAAGCAGGCAATTGACGCCTGCCCACAGCACACAGATGCCCCCACAGCCCCACCTCCCTCTCTGGCAGTGCCAGAGAACCAGTGCTAGCAACGTGGCCTCGCTCCTTTCTCTGCCAGCCCCTCAGCTCCTGCCCACATATGGCGAGACCTGGAACCCTGCTCTGCCTACCATCAGGAATGATTCCAGGTAGAAAACAAGGAGACATGAGTGGTCAGTGGTCTTGTGCAGTGTTGTCCCTTTGCCACCTAGACCCTCTCAGAGTGCGCCTCCTCCTCCACCACTTCAGCCAAAGGCACAGTGGGGACCCCCCACCTCCTCTCTTTTTTCAACATTTGACTCTCTCACTGTGGGGAAGGACTTTCCACCACCCTCCCTGTGGGGTGACCCAGCTCGAAGGCATGTCCAGCAGCACATGTGACCCAGTAACAGAGAAGCCAGGGACGCCCTCTCCAGACCAGCCCAAGCACTCCACATCCAAAAGAAGTGGCAAACCAAGCTCCCCAGCTCTCAGTTTTGGAACTGGAAACACCTTGAGAAGTCAAGGTGGGAGATGGGAACATCACATGATGGCTGACACTGGCCTAGACACAGAAGAGTTGAATAAGAAGCCAAGAAAGATGCCCTTTGCAGAGGCGGAGGGAGCAGGAAGGTGTTGCAGCAGCACAAATGGCAGCCAGACAGGGAGGAGGACATTGCACATACAGCAAAAGGAAAAAGGTATTCTTTTTTAGTGCATCCTTCACCTAGAGAAGGAGCCCAGTAACCTCCATGTGTCCTTCAGTAACGTATTTTGTTATTGTGAAGATCATTACTGATCGAGGCAAGAGCTGCTGGTTCAGTTTTGTCCTCCTCAAGCCAGATGTTTGTGTTTTAGCTGATTTAGTGGTTGCACTCCGAAGATGCTAGATAAAAGCCACCAGTAGCACTGCTAACAGTGAGGGCTACCCATCAACCAGGGAAAACAGCTCCATCAGTCATAGAGTGGGGTAAAAGCATTCCCATTTCTCCAAATATTTAAGGGGGGTGACCATGGTCGTTACCTCCATCACACGACATGCTCTTTTACACTGTTGTTCTGAGTTTGTTGATAAACAGCGGTGAAATGGAGTTGGTCTTTCTAATGACATCAGGTTACTCCTCAGAAATAACGTGGCTTTTCATCTTTACTTTCAAGACAGGTAGTGTAAAGAGGAATCACCAGACAGCCTCAGATTCTCAAATCACCATGTGTCCCTGGCCAAAAGCAAGGTGGGCAAAACACCCCTTTGCAGAAGTCATTGACAATCTGTACCACCAGAGCTTTTCTGATATGAAGCGCTTCTTCTGGGCATCAATGGAGCAGGAGGAAGACATCTGCTAACTTCACCTAAAAGCATTAGAAACCCACTCCTCAAAGTAAAGAGTTCACAGGAACAAGTTGGGACTCATGCTCCTACGGTAAGGACTGGCTAGTGCAGAGACAAAAAGGGCTCAGACTATGAAGAGATTTAAAGGTGACACGAAGAGCCTGAGCTTCTGAATGTTGTACCACCCAAAATGTCCCCAGCTGGGCTCCTTGAAAAGGCCAAGCTCCTCCTGGGAAGAGGGCCCTGCAACCATTCCATGACAACCCCAGGCTCCTGGTAAACCACCAGAGGCAACCAGCAAGAGACTCGCATGACATGATGAAGACACACCTGGAATCACAGCAAACGTGAAGTCAGTCACACTTGGAGGATGTGCTGGGGGCCCAGAAAACCAGGAACATGCTCAGGAATAAGGGCAACCTCCAACTAATCCCCTTAGAGCATCTCAGCTCCCCGGACACCTTCACCCAACCCCCCTCTAAACTTCCACACCTTGGGCCAAATTCTAGCTTCATTTACACCCTTTTCAACTACCAAGTCAAAGGAGTTGCTAGGCAGCACCGAATTTTTCTTGGTTTGGGTCTGGTGACCTTCCAAAGCTCCAGTCAGGCTAGCCAGGAGAGCTGGAGAGACGCGTGCCAGGCACAGAATCCCCCTGAGGAAACACACCTGTATTCTGAAAAGCTCTGGACTGATCTACTCCCTAAAAAGTCTCCATCACACCCTGAAGCTCTTTTGACATCTGGAGCACACGGGCACGCATCTCTGCAGGGCTCCAGTGTCTGGTCATCACTCCCAGCTGACAGTGATAAAAACCTCAGCTGATCCCACAACGGCCCGACAGGCACCTCCAAGCCCTGCTTTGGAGCTGGGGAGAGAGATCCCGGTGGGGAAGCAGCAGCAAGGCCAGGAGCTCCCCAGGAAGCTGCCACATCCCGCCCCGCTCCTGCAGCTCCCAGCAAGACCCCAAACCTGCAGCTTTTCTGCCATACCTGCTGTCAGGGCCCCTGCCCTACTTGTTCCTCCTGTGGCACCGGGTCCGAGCACCAAGCACAGGGTCCTCCCACCTTACCACGGCTCCTTGCCTGCTTCTCCTCGGCTGGGGAGGGAGCGAGAAGTGCCACCCCCCTGCTCTAACCCAGCAGGCAATGGCTGCTTCCTGTCGTGGGAAACGCCAGGCTGGGTGTTCCTCCCACTGAGAGCTGGGTGGGAGGAAGAGGAGCAGAGGACAGGTTTCCAAGCACCTTCCTCAGAGCAGCCTGGAGCAGGCCCTGCCTTTGTTTGAACTTGGGGTGGGGACCCCAAATAGCCCTGAGCAAACAGGGTTCAGTGGAGCTGGGGGTCACGCATGCAACAAGCAACAGAGAGGTGGCAGGTGTCCCCTCTCTGCATCCTGGAGGGCCCTGCGCCTGGCCAAGGACGAGGTGGATCACTCCAGTTTGGTGGCATAGCAGGGTCCAGCTTCCTCCAGCCAAACCTGGCATCACCACCTCCAGCGGCTTCCATGGCATGACACTCCGTGGCAGAGCTGTGCCAGATGAGCCAAAGGAACTCAGCCCGCAAATGGAACATCCAAAAGCTTCCCCAGGGCCACACTGTTCTGCTTCAAACTACTGGTCTCCTACTGAAGAAGGGATTCACCTCACTCTTTCAAAGATTCAAATCCATGTCAGATCAGAATGTATGGCCAAGAGGAAATTTCCTGACACCCCACCATGTCTCTCTCGTCTGACAGGGCAGCGGGATGGAGGGCAGCTCTGACAGGCAGTGGTCCAACGAGACCTTTGAGGCTGATATGCAGTGACAAGCACATCTCCTGCTAACACGAACACTGCATCACTAAGAGCTCTGGTCCAATCCCTAGAAGTGCAAAGGGATCTGCTTCCTTAAAAACAGCCAGTTTGACTTTCTCCCTCCCTCCCTCCCGAGAAATTGCAAATCTACAGAATCACTGAATCTTCTAGGTTGGAAGGGACCTTAAAGATCATCTTGTCCAACTGTCAACCTGACTGACAAAAATAGACACCCGCACAACAAACAAGAAGCATCACCATCACTAAACCATACCTCCCAGCACTACATCAACCCGTCTTTTGAACACCTCCAGGGATGGTGCCTCCACCACCTCCCTGGGCAGCCCATTCCAATGGGCTTTCAGTGAAAAAAATCTTTCCTAATATCCAGCCTGAACCTCCCCTGGTGTAACTTGAGGCCATTTCCTCTCGTCCTGTCGCCTGTGACTTGAGAGAAGAGACCGACACCCACCTCTCTACACCCTCCTTTCAGGGAGTTGTAGAGAGCAATAAAGTTTCCCCTCAGCCTCCTCTTCTCCAGGCTGAACAACCCCAGCTCCCTCAGCCTCTCCTCAGGAGACTTGTGCTCCAGACCCCTCACCAGCTCCGTTGCCCTTTTCTGTACCCGCTCCAGCACCTCAATGTCTTTTTTATGGTAGGGGGCCCAAAACTGGACACAGTACTCAAGGTGGGGTCTCACCAGTGCCGAGTACAGGGGGATGATCACCTCTCGGGCCCTACTCCCCACGCTGTTCCTGACACAGGCCAGGATGCTGGTGGCCTTCTTGGCCACCTGGGCACACTGCTAGCTCCTGTTCAGCCGACAGGCGACCAACACCCCCAGGTCCTTTTCTGCCAGGCAGCTCCAGCCACTCTGCCCCCATATCCTTTGAACAGCTTGCATATTTAAAATACATATTTCATTGCTATGTTCTTCTGCAAATGCTACAGACCCCGTTGGAAATGTCTCCCAGACACCTCACAGGTCCACTGAACAGAAAGATCCTATAGATCCCATAGGCCAGGACGCATGGAAACCTCCCCCGCAGCCTCGGCAGAGCCACTCACACAATCCCTTCTCCAGGGCCACACAGCTCCAACACCCGTGCCAGCCGGGCAGCGGTGTTCCCCTGGAGCAGCCACACAGTCATTAGACAAACAGGGTGGCAGATGGCAAGTGCTTCCAGGGCGGTTTTCCAGCCACTGGGAGCATGACGTTCAATTGCCCACATCAAACACAAGGGCGGGGGGACAGCAAGGCCACATCGCAGTACTTAGTGCAAGCAGGACAGGATTCACATTGTTTCCTGAGTGCAAACACCATCTGTAACAAAGTACCACCAAACCCTTACCTTGCTGACCAGCAGCAGTAACATTAGTATCAGTCATATTAACTTAGTATTACTAAGAAGCAAATGATGATGCTGAGTACCTTGGCCACAAAAAAATCCCACTTCCTAAATACTCCAAGAGGCTGCATTCACAAAAGTGCTCAGCAACTTGAACCACAAATAAAGGCTACTCCAGCAGGCACCCACAGCTTGAAGGTGACAGCTGTCACTCAACAGGTATTAAATCGCTGAATGACAGAGACACAGCAGTGAAACAGGCAGCAGCTTCCACTACACCACAGTAATCTTCCTGCCTCCTCCCACATCAATACAAAGCTGTTTTGAAACCCCTTTAGAGAGGTCTATGTCTTACTCTTCTCCAGACTCATGCTGCCAAAACTGCAATCCAAGCACGTGTCACTCCAGGCAGGTGGGCTCTGTCAGGAGTTTCTACCAAGGGACCTGGACAGCATTTGCAAGCTGAAGGACATACTTGAAATCACACTAAATCAATGGCTCCCTCTAGAGTCGCTCCACTCATTTCCATTAAGATTAGAATGTCCACTGAGTCTTTCAGCTTCACTTCAGGCCTTGGAGAAGTTCAATGTGACCACCAAGGAACTGCTGGCCACATCCATCACTGCCCTGTTCTGGAGTGGATGCGGAAGCAGCCTCAGCTTCAGCCCAGGAAGGAGAAATGATACACCTTGGCATCTGCTGTATTTTGCTCTGACAAATCCCAGGAAATCAAGAGGCAAACGAAGCCACAACCACCAATAAAGAGCCTACAAGACTGAACTAGAGCCCTCACCTCCTGAAGTATAGAATCCATCTTCCCTCCCATCTCTCCTTTTAACCCCTTTTCCAGTTGACAGCACTAGACTTAAGTGCAGTGGCTCTGTGAAGACAAGCAGCTCATCCAGGCATGTATATCCCCACAGTGCTTTCATACCACAAGCTACTTGTCCTCAGGCCTCTAAGGGGCTTGTAGCTGTGTTTAAAGAAAAAACAAACCAAAACCAACCAACCAACCATTAAAATTGCTATGGAAAGGCTTCCCCCTCCCTCCCCGGGTTTCACAAGCAGATAGTTAACACTGACTCCCAACCTGGTAACTCGGATGGGCACCTCTATCAGATTCTTCTGTGCGTCAGCACTGTCACTGTCTTTTCACATTTTTACAGACAACAACTGAGTCTGGATCTGGAAAGGATATTTGCTAGGACATTACTAACCTGAAGGTGTGTCACAGAACCAATGAAAGTCAGCAAGTGGCTCCAGTCTGTTGGCAAACAATTTCTGGAAAAAATCTCACCCATAAATAACAGACACAAGCACAAGGAACTCTTGTGTTAAGATTTAATAACAACATTTCAAAAACAACAAGTGCATTGTACACAAGATCTGGTATTCAGTGCTTTTCATTGACCATTTGCTTTATGAGTGTCAGTGTACTGAAGACCTGGGGAGTGGTAAGTGGATAAAAAAAACCCAGTTGGGACATGTCTCCAAAGAGGACAGGAGAGAGAGGGCAGCAGGAGGCTCAGAATCGAACAAACGTGGCATCAATCTGCCGGACAGTTGGAAGGGCCAGCATGATTTTGCGCCGGTACTGGGGATCCTTCTGCAAGGGATTTCGCTCCAGATACACAGTTTCCAAGTTCTTCGCTCCTTTCAGCTCATCCAGGTCACTCCAGCTCTCGACGAGATTATCATTCATCTGCAGAGCACATACAGGCACACTCACACAGACACTCCCAAGATAAGCCTGGTTAGCAGGAACCGAGCCACACCAGCGCCGCTCAGGATTACTGCTACCCAGGGGCAGGAATGCTGTGCAGCCTTCATGTACATAAGATGATCCTTTTACCCCTGGAGCCCCTGAGATGTGCTTTCTTGTCTCACGCTCCAGGCCTCGCTAACCAACTTCCCCACACTCCCCACGTTTCTGGTCAAATGCTCCCCTCTTCAGACAGTGTATCCAGTCCAGCTATTAGGATTGTGCCAGGCAGCTCCAGCCACTCTGCCCCCATATCCTTTGAACAGCTTGCATATTTAAAATACATATTTCATTGCTATGTTCTTCTGCAAATGCTACAGACCCCGTTGGAAATGTCTCCCAGACACCTCACAGGTCCACTGAACAGAAAGATCCTATAGATCCCATAGGCCAGGACGCATGGAAACCTCCCCCGCAGCCTCGGCAGAGCCACTCACACAATCCCTTCTCCAGGGCCACACAGCTCCAACACCCGTGCCAGCCGGGCAGCGGTGTTCCCCTGGAGCAGCCACACAGTCATTAGACAAACAGGGTGGCAGATGGCAAGTGCTTCCAGGGCGGTTTTCCAGCCACTGGGAGCATGACGTTCAATTGCCCACATCAAACACAAGGGCGGGGGGACAGCAAGGCCACATCGCAGTACTTAGTGCAAGCAGGACAGGATTCACATTGTTTCCTGAGTGCAAACACCATCTGTAACAAAGTACCACCAAACCCTTACCTTGCTGACCAGCAGCAGTAACATTAGTATCAGTCATATTAACTTAGTATTACTAAGAAGCAAATGATGATGCTGAGTACCTTGGCCACAAAAAAATCCCACTTCCTAAATACTCCAAGAGGCTGCATTCACAAAAGTGCTCAGCAACTTGAACCACAAATAAAGGCTACTCCAGCAGGCACCCACAGCTTGAAGGTGACAGCTGTCACTCAACAGGTATTAAATCGCTGAATGACAGAGACACAGCAGTGAAACAGGCAGCAGCTTCCACTACACCACAGTAATCTTCCTGCCTCCTCCCACATCAATACAAAGCTGTTTTGAAACCCCTTTAGAGAGGTCTATGTCTTACTCTTCTCCAGACTCATGCTGCCAAAACTGCAATCCAAGCACGTGTCACTCCAGGCAGGTGGGCTCTGTCAGGAGTTTCTACCAAGGGACCTGGACAGCATTTGCAAGCTGAAGGACATACTTGAAATCACACTAAATCAATGGCTCCCTCTAGAGTCGCTCCACTCATTTCCATTAAGATTAGAATGTCCACTGAGTCTTTCAGCTTCACTTCAGGCCTTGGAGAAGTTCAATGTGACCACCAAGGAACTGCTGGCCACATCCATCACTGCCCTGTTCTGGAGTGGATGCGGAAGCAGCCTCAGCTTCAGCCCAGGAAGGAGAAATGATACACCTTGGCATCTGCTGTATTTTGCTCTGACAAATCCCAGGAAATCAAGAGGCAAACGAAGCCACAACCACCAATAAAGAGCCTACAAGACTGAACTAGAGCCCTCACCTCCTGAAGTATAGAATCCATCTTCCCTCCCATCTCTCCTTTTAACCCCTTTTCCAGTTGACAGCACTAGACTTAAGTGCAGTGGCTCTGTGAAGACAAGCAGCTCATCCAGGCATGTATATCCCCACAGTGCTTTCATACCACAAGCTACTTGTCCTCAGGCCTCTAAGGGGCTTGTAGCTGTGTTTAAAGAAAAAACAAACCAAAACCAACCAACCAACCATTAAAATTGCTATGGAAAGGCTTCCCCCTCCCTCCCCGGGTTTCACAAGCAGATAGTTAACACTGACTCCCAACCTGGTAACTCGGATGGGCACCTCTATCAGATTCTTCTGTGCGTCAGCACTGTCACTGTCTTTTCACATTTTTACAGACAACAACTGAGTCTGGATCTGGAAAGGATATTTGCTAGGACATTACTAACCTGAAGGTGTGTCACAGAACCAATGAAAGTCAGCAAGTGGCTCCAGTCTGTTGGCAAACAATTTCTGGAAAAAATCTCACCCATAAATAACAGACACAAGCACAAGGAACTCTTGTGTTAAGATTTAATAACAACATTTCAAAAACAACAAGTGCATTGTACACAAGATCTGGTATTCAGTGCTTTTCATTGACCATTTGCTTTATGAGTGTCAGTGTACTGAAGACCTGGGGAGTGGTAAGTGGATAAAAAAAACCCAGTTGGGACATGTCTCCAAAGAGGACAGGAGAGAGAGGGCAGCAGGAGGCTCAGAATCGAACAAACGTGGCATCAATCTGCCGGACAGTTGGAAGGGCCAGCATGATTTTGCGCCGGTACTGGGGATCCTTCTGCAAGGGATTTCGCTCCAGATACACAGTTTCCAAGTTCTTCGCTCCTTTCAGCTCATCCAGGTCACTCCAGCTCTCGACGAGATTATCATTCATCTGCAGAGCACATACAGGCACACTCACACAGACACTCCCAAGATAAGCCTGGTTAGCAGGAACCGAGCCACACCAGCGCCGCTCAGGATTACTGCTACCCAGGGGCAGGAATGCTGTGCAGCCTTCATGTACATAAGATGATCCTTTTACCCCTGGAGCCCCTGAGATGTGCTTTCTTGTCTCACGCTCCAGGCCTCGCTAACCAACTTCCCCACACTCCCCACGTTTCTGGTCAAATGCTCCCCTCTTCAGACAGTGTATCCAGTCCAGCTATTAGGATTGCTGGAGATTAGGAGGGGGTTCTTCACTGTGAGGGTGGTGGAGCACTGGAACAGGTTGCCCAGGGAGGTGGTTGAGGTCCCTTCCCTGGAGATATTCAAGGTGAGGCTCGATGGGGCAACCTGGTCTAGTTGGGGGTGTCCCTGCTGACTGCGGGGGGGTCGGACTAGATGACCTTTGGAGGTCCCTTCCGGCCTGGGCAATTCTATGATTCTATTATGCTGGGAAAGACCCAGCAAGACACTGAGACGGTCTCTTCATACAGTGCCCCAGCCCATACACTGCTCATTTAAAGGGTGGAAATCTTTATGTCAAGATTTTCTTCCACTGTGACATCTACCCTTACTGTCATGACTTTCCAGGAAACATTAAAAAAAGCTCTCAAACTGATAACTCCCAAACCCATAACTGAGAAGTGATGTTTTCCTCTTCCCTTGACATCACTTCCCTACAAAAACTGCTTCTGCCCTCCAGAGAAAGCCCCAAGCTCTCCAATTCAGGCTCTCCTCCTGTCATCCCAGGAGCTGCCCCATTGCTGGCACCACAAAGGAATTCCCACATGAGGGGAATGGTTCAAGTGTCTGGCAAGGAAGCCAAGTGTGCAAGGTTGGACTTGCTGTCCAGCCTAGAGACTGCTGCCACCCTTTGCCTTTGGATATAGAGGCAGTCACCAAAGCAATACCACCTTTAAATAAAAATAATAAAAAAATTTTCAATGGGTTGGCTCTGGCACCCCTCAACAACTGTTCTTTCTTGCATCGGGCACCCATGGTAACCTTGAAACTTTGTACACCATGTTTGCTGTGTGGCAGATCAGCAGCTCTGTTTTCTTCAGTTACCTCACTCCAGCTTGTTCACAGAACGGTTCAGGTTAGATGGGACCTTAAAGATCTCATTCCAACCCCCCTGCCCTGGGCAGGGACACCTCCCACCAGCCCAGGTTGCTCCAAGCCCCCTCCAACCTGGCCTTGAACCCCTCCAGGGATGGGGCAGCCACAGCTTCTCTGGGCAACCCTGGCCAGTGCCTCACCACCTTCACACCAAAGAATTTCTTCCTGAAAATGAAAGTTCAATGAAAGAAAACTGCTTCATCGCTGGGACTGCCAGAGTTCCAGTGCTAAAACCCTGGACTAAAACTCTGAAGAAAACCTGTCAGCTCTTTCATTCTGCTGCAGCTTGCTGCAACATTACTTCAGCCAAGTCACTTGACCTTCAGATGTCTCAGTCTCTCCACTCAGGAGGTGGTACTGGGATACTTGTTAGAAGATTGCTACAAGTATCTAAGATTTGAAATTCTGCTTCCTTAAGGTGTTACAGGACTTTGTTATGTGGCTTCAGCTGTACAGTGAGAGAAAAAAAATAAATTGGTAGATGCAGCACTTGTTCACATCAGAGAAAATTCTGCCCTACTCTTTATCAAAAAGCACACTTTTTTTTTTTAAGAGTGTTAAAGTGGAAAAAAGTCAGGAAAGCATTTTCCAGGTTCAGCGAACAGATGTTGGCCAAAGGTCTGCTTTGACAAAAAAAAAAAAATACATCTTTAAACGCACTAGTGTTTTTGCAAAGGAAGTCCAGTGAGGTTAAGATCTTCCCTTTGCTTTCTGGAAAACAAGTGGAAACAGCTGTGCAACACCATCTTCTCCAAGCAGAGCAACAGCTAAGAGGAAGACTGGAGGAAACTGGAAAGGATCACAACAGGTCCCAAGCTGGCCACACTACACTGGCTCATTTTTACCACCCAAAAGATGCCATGTTAAACAGGGCTTCTCAGCTCCTGTTTTTTAAAGAGTTCCTTATGGAATAGGCACAGCCAGGTAACACCTCTACCTGTCTCCTAAGCCACTCTGCAAGATGAGGAAAACAGGTTAAGTAGCTTGGACTCCAGCTTTTAACTTGGCTTCATTTGCAGCTGCTTTCCACACCTTTATCTCAACCTCTGTCCTAAAGTTTAGTTATTTAAACTCCAAATGACAGACACTAAGCAGCACAACTCTTATTCTCAGCCTTGTCACTCTACAAGAGCTAAAGCATGTGCCAACTTGTAAACATCTGCTGCTTCTTTCCCCAAAACGTGAGCGGCTATGTACACAGCTCCCAAATATAATGTTTCAGGAGGGGGTGTCTTGCATATTTCCTGACAAGACTTATGAATGACAAAGGGCTTAGCTATTTAGGGTGCCAGAAACAAACAGAAGCAACCCTGAACAGTTATCTCCCTCACAGGAATGGAAGTAAACCAGAAGATGGTTTCATTTTCTTCATATTTATAACGATCTGAACATATGAACTCTGTTCTAAACAGGTACTGTGCTCCATAGCAGTGGTGACCCAGTATCAGCCTCCCTCATTACACTGGCATGCTCACTTAAAGAAAGATGAGATCTGCAGAAATAGGACACAGCAGGGCTGTTTCATAACCATCACAAGCGTGAAAGCAGGGTCTATTTCCCGGGTAGAGGCAGGCTCTTTAGCACTAAGCAAAGCCCTGCAAAGATGTTTTTTTTAAGCTCAATTCCTTCCATAGGAGAAACCATCGTATACTCTATCCATGCAGACTGTCAAGATCTTAAACTTGGTCACTGGAACAAGACATACGTGTACACCACCTTCCCACTGCTTCCCACCTGAAGGGTTTCTTTCACCATTGTACAGATGTTTCAGCTCCAGCTTGTGCTTACCCAGAATTCCTGCAGCTCTGTTAGGTGACTGATATTTTCAATCTTCTTGATCCTGTTGCATGCAATGTCCAGCATTGTGAGTTTGTTCTAGACAAGCAAACACAAAAACATTACACAGGATTTCCTTTCATCTTCTCTGTCCCACTTTTTCTAGGCCCAGAGATGGGCCCAGATAGGATCCAGAGATGGAAACTGTCAGAAGTAAAGACACGTTATTGCGAGCTGCTTACATGCAGCCCAAGAACTCTTACTGCCTAAATATAGAAAGGAAGACTGTTTTTAATTAAATTGGGTTACTGACCTCCCAGAAGCCATGTGACAAAACGAAAGCAGTTACTGGCTGGATGGCAACTTCCAGCCAAGGGCTCCTAAAGAGTCAGCTTTCCTCATAGTACATTAAGAGAAGGAATCCATTAAAAATCAGATCATAAGTGTCCTCTCAAGCAGCAGAGCTGAACAAACTTTTTGCTGCAGGAAACTCAGCAGTTTTAGGAAAAGGTTTTTTTTTTTTTTCTGACTTGCAGAGAGCCAACTAAGTTCTAGATTGTCTTTGCTCTCTGACAATGGCATCTACTGTTGGGTGAGAATGAAAACGCTACAGGCTTATGTAACTTGTTTTCATGACCTGGGGAGGGGAAGCACAATTCTACTCCAGAAGATCTAGAGGAGCTTCACCCATGCAAGATATCAAAACGTAAAAAATACTTGGATCTGTGTGGTCTTTTCAAGAGACTCAGGACCCCACATGTAACTGGGGAAGGTGAGGAACAAAAGCTTCCAGAAAAGCACAGACACTAACAGGAGCAGCTTAGGGCAGCAATTCTGTCACACAGTTAGCAAAAGCCTACTCACATTGTTCTCCAGTCCCTCGATGACTTCGATGCCATTGTGGCTGAGGTACAACTCACGCAAATTCACCAAGCTCTGCAGCCCCTCAATCTTGGTCAGACGGTTATTCTGAAAGTGTAACAGCAGTGTAAGTCCACTCTGAACAAACCAAAACCCAAGTGAGTCACTGGAGAAAAAGCATTTCTCTGAAGTATGGATGCGAAGGGGAAACAGTCTGCTTAGGTCCACACATCAGCTCAGCTCGTTTGATCTCTGTACCACCAACGCACAAGGAAGTTCCATGGGAGACAAAGTCTCAAAGTTTAGAAGAATCAGACTCTGATCTTCCCATTAAAAGTTGTAGCCTAAAAGTTTTCCTCTTGGTGTTTTTAGAAACAAGCCACTAATAGCATTCATTTTGTAGGTCTTTGCAGTGGAATGGTCAGAAGATAAGTCACAACACTTCAATCCCAATACACTCTGCTGTACCTAATTCTTTACGTCCTATAGAATAATGACACGTACAGGTACTACAACATGTTGTGAGTATGGCTTTCTTACCAGCAGCTGTAAGAGATATAGAATGAAGTAGCATTGTCAGGTGGATGAGGAAGAGACTCAATGAAAGAAATTAGTTCAGTGTCTTTTATTCCACCTTTTAAGAAAAGGAAGGAACTTTCCATAAGCTCATTAAGGACAGATTTCATTAACACAGGATTGTTCACATTTCTTCCCTGTTCAGGGAGTAGCAACACTGAGCTCACTGGAGTACCTGGAGTAACTGGCAGCCTCCCTGGAATAACTCATTTGATGTTATTGCAATATATTAGGAAAGAGTATTTCAGGAAGGAAATAGGGGATAACACTCATTTCTTGTTCTCTGTTCCATAAAAATCAAACATTTATTTTATCATTTTATCAATGTCTGTTAATCTCATTTAGTATGAAAGGATGAGACTTGTTTAGTATGAAAACATGAGAAGATAACACAGAGAACATCACACTTTCTTCCAGTAGAGGAGTTTGGCTCAAAAACTGAAGACCTGCTGAATCAGAAGAGCTTATCATAAATCACAAGGTGGTTCAGGCAACCAGCGCTGTTCAGAAGGCAACAGTACAAAGTAGAACCAATACCTGTATACTGAGCACAGTCAAGTTTGTCAGCGCATCCAGGTTCTGGAGCTTGGTGATTTTATTCTTCCCAAGGAACAGACTGTCAAGATTAGCCAAAGTGTCGATGTTTTCAATTGCCTGCAAAATGACCAAAGGAGACAGTGTTATTGCTGTAATGCAAATACATCTACAGGTCGGAGTTTTTGCATTTTACAGCCTTGACCCATGGAGCTACACTCCTGCAAAACACAAGCCTGCCAATTCCACAACACAAAGCACGCACAAGGTAGGACCTCCCTTGTGACCCAAGAGCAGAGCAAGGCAGTACTTTGTGCAGTGACAGTGAACCTCAGCCCACGTGACAGCTGGCTCGTGGCACTACTACTCACTGATTTTCATCAAGGGTCACATCGCTTTGTCCCAGCTGTGGCCTCCACTGTCCAGCAGCAAGAGCAGAGAATCAAAAGGCTTGGGAAGCACTGTAAGTGCCAGTCCCTGGGCCATGGAGTGTATCGTATGTCAGGAGATACTCATTTGTGAAGCAAGAAAAATTTGTCACTAGTGAATGGAAAAAGAGTCTGGGAGAAGAAAATGCAGTTTGCAAATTTAGTCCTGACCATCAGTGACTGCATAACACAGACAAGAGGCAAGCTGTTTAGCTTACCTTGCACAACAGTTTCTCTGTCATAAGGAAGGTTAACTGCCTCATGGGTATATATGTTAATATATTTAACTACTGGTTATATATTCATGCTACTGGCAGAACACACACATACCAAGTGACATACATGCTTTAAATACACACACTACTGGCAGAACACATACCCTATACCAGTTTAAAGTCCTGAACTCAGCCTTCAGTGGGAGAAAAGAAGGACCTCTCAGGCATCAAGAACCACCATATTCTTTATTTACAGAGAAAGGGGCAGAAAGCATGAACAGAAGACAGAAAAAAGGGCAAGAAAAAGGGGAAAAAGGTGAGCTTAGGAAAGGAAAAAAAAAACAAAACCAAAAATAGTGGGGTTTTTTTTTCAGGGGAAAGTCTCTTAATTCAAAAAATGGTCCTGTTAAAAGAGACCAGAATCTTAAAACCAGACTTCAGCTCACAGAAGAACAGTAATATGAATATAGATACACATAGAGCTATGCATCTGTGCTCAAGTACCTTGTGACATCTCAGTTTTTCCACACCCTTCTTGCCTGCAAGAGTTTCAGGGACTAGTAGTGCTGGTGAGACAGGCCACTGAGTCCTAGCACCACTTAAGTTACTCTATGTGTGCGTCGTGCATATGCATTTATCCACGTGTGTACAAAGGAAGGAAGAGAAAGATGGAAGCAAACACACACTATGTATTTATAGATGCATTCTGGAAAGGAAAGAAGCTCTTCAAGCTCTGTCCCACAACCTCCAACAGATTCAACATAAGGTGTTTATCAGCTCATATGTGGATTCTCCGTCCTTCTAGCCTGTGAGCTGACTCCTGTTCGGACCTTGCAAGAAAATGATATATTTGTTGCTCACTGGTAGCTCCCCCAGCCCTGAGGAGGAAATACTTGTGACTCTCAGGATATTGAGAGGAAATAACTGGGGGGAAAAGGAAAAAAAAAAGCCACTTAAAGCTATGAAAACCCACACTTAAGGGACAGTACAAAACAGATGGACATGAGGGTGGGAAAAACCTAAGGAACAAATAAATAAGTGATTGCCTTACAGTTAGTTGCCTCAGTCCGGCTTTGAGAAAAAAGCATGAAATGCATCAACTCAAGCATAAAGTTCTGCTTCCCCACCATTCATACTGGTGAGGAAGGAGGAAGGGAGAGAACTACAAGTGCTTTGTACGTCATGACAGACTCCAGGGTAAGCGCGCTCCAAAAGGTTAAAATGAGTAAGCCAGAATTACTGCAGAAGCTTTAATACACAGGGGATGAGTATGTCAGGCACCTCAGAGCCAAGAATTCTGCTTGAACAGACAGTCCACAGGCCTTTACCCTGAAGAGTTAAGGATATGCCCACCTGTAAAGCACATAGCCAGGCACCCTACCAACAGAAAACTACTGAAAGAGTTCTAGGTGTCCCCAAATAACATAAGATACATTTCTTCACGCCTAGGCACAGGGTACTCACTCCAGTAGGGCAATTAGAAGCATACAGCAGTGCTGTTTGAAGAAGCCAGAATAGAATTAACAGATGAACAGAAAAAATGCTAACAATAAAGTAATTTAAGAAGCTCATGTTAACCATACAATAGTAACTTTGGATTTTTTGGTTGTTTTGTTAATGTGCTCAGGCTCAACACTGAGAAAACAAAACATAAAATAAATCTAACCTAACTGTTTAAAAGATATTCTTGAGCTTGACGATAATGGTGCCAATGTACCTTCTAAGTATCAATTCAGAAAACTAGGTGGATTTTTTTTTTCAGAAGGTAATGATGCTTAGATACGGAATACAGTATAGTTTTGCTTAACATAAGGATCAGTATGGTCAGCCTGTTGATTCTGAATACAGGAAAGCACATCACTTTCTAACTCATGTTCCCCCAGGCAATGCAAATTCTAAGGTTCCTAATCACTTATCTGATCTGGTTGATCTAGATTTATTCCCCTAAGTAACTTAATTTGCAAAGTAGAAATTCCTTTGGATGGAAAAGGATTCAGTCCAGTGTAGCTTTGAGCAAAATAAAATTTTTCCAGTTCATAAAAGCAGCGCACATTTCTGCCTTAGAAGGCTGTTTAAAATAGCTGAATTTTCCTTCTTTTCTGGTTGTGCTTCCACAAGGCTTGAAATACAGAGGGCACACAGGTTTCTTCCTGATTTGCTCTTTCAGCATAACAAGTAATTTTTCAGAGACTGTAAATGGGAGTGCCAACTTAGGCAATTTTCAGGTTAAAATGCACTCATCTGTTACAAGTATTTTCTAAAACTTATATAATTGAAAAACTCCTAAAAAATTAATAGTTAAGGTCTCCATAAGGAGAAGAGACTACTCAGAACTCCTTCCCTTTAAGTGGCACAGATTTTAAATCACCTAAATTGAAAAAGTCACAAACTGCACAATAAAAAAAAAATCCCCAGTAATCAGCAGTACAGTACCAGGTTTTTTTTAAGGTATTTCAGAGCAAAGCCTCAAGAAAGTCTTTTTTCCTGAGTGAGACTAACCTGCTACATTGGTTATCAGTTACACATACAAATCCAACTAGATTTAAATTTGCTTTCAATAGGTTTTATCAACACAGCACCAGCCTCTAGGAAGGTAAGAGAAAACAATAATTGCTAGCTTAGGTAGGCTTGGCTCTCTAGCAGGAGGAAACCATCATCTGCAAAAGGCAACACACAATGGATGCATGACTTCATTAAAGAAAGAAATTCATAAATAGCAATTTAGCAGCCAGGCACTACAAGCATTCATCATTAAAGAATTCAGCATGCGCAGCAATAAGCAATTGCACATTAAACGACTGGAACAATAAAAAGAAAAAATTGCAAGTAAAATTCAATGAAGTGCACTTTCAGAAAAGGCTAACCCCAAGCCAAAGAGCTCAAAACTCTCTGGCTAACATCTTGTAGACCAAGCCTACCCGAATTCGATTGGATCCCAACTCTAACATCTGTAGCATCTGCAAGCTGCTCAAATTCTCAATTTTGCTGATTTTGTTGTTGACGAGGAAGAGTTTTTTAAGTTGAGTAAGCCGATCTAGTCCTTCAATGTGTCGCAGAACATTAAAGGAGATGTCCAAGATCCTGAGGTAAAACAAAACAAAGGTCTCTTCAGTCCATCAGGCATGGGTGATTCTGGAAGAGGCACTTGTAAATTGGTGGGGAACCTCACTATCTTCAGAGATCAAACATAAGTCATAAGTGTAATTTTATTTTTATCAGAAGTGACAACAAATAAAACTTTCAAAATACTTCTGGTGTGTCAGGGGAAAAAAAGTAACGAAACAATTTAAAAAAAAAAAATCTGTCACACACAGAAGATGGCCATCATTTTGCCCCGTCATGGAGCTACCACTGTGGGAGGACAGTCTTGAGCACTACATATTTCTCGGGAAAGGTATGTGCCTACAAGCTCTGCCTCTGCCAGGACAACATCAAGGCCTCACACAGTGTGAAGCAGTTCACTGCGCAAAGTAGGTCAGTCTTCCTCACCCCCATGAAGACAGTGTATCTCCAGAGTGATCACAGACAGGTGCCAGAAACTGGGAAGAGTGCTACTCCTTCCCTAACGCCCTCTAGAAAATGTCCTAATCTTACCTGAAATCTCATCATTTTCTGCAGGAGTAAAAACATGTTATATGGAGTTCTTGCTGCCAAAAGCAAGGGGTGCCTGCGTGCTTCAACACCTGCATAGAAGCTGCAACCACCTATCACTCTCACTGCCTTCTGCAGCACACATTTTATTTCCAGCTGACTGTCCCTGGTGAGCTGCAGGATTATGAAACGCAGGTTAAATACCAATGGAAAACAGATGTTATCCTTCACAGAGCACCCAAATGAATCCTGAGAAAGGCCTGGGTGATAAATACTGGAATAAGTACAGCAGTGAGTGGCAAACCACCCTCAACCTAATCTTGATGGTTCCCCTGGACTCACTCAAGTTCCACTAGAGACTCCAAGTTCTCGATCTTCCGAATTTGATTGTCATAGAGATCCAGTTCCCGCAAGGTCTGCAATTGCTCCAGGTTCTCAATGTTCTTAATCAAATTCTGACGGAGACAGAGAGTCTAATAGTTGGGAAAAAGTTTAAAAACAAACAGAAAAATAGATATGAATAACAGCATGTAGTGCCTTTTGGCATACAGACAATAAATTTGGGTTTGTTTTCCCCCCCCGCGTTGGGTTTTGCTGGGTTTTTTGTTAGTGTTTGGTTTTTGGCTTTGTTTGCAATTTTTTTTAATAGAATCTTTTCTTGTTATTCCAACTCTATAGAAGGAAATTTTTTTACCACAAAGATGACATTAGAACAGCAGCCCAGAAAGGCTACGTAATCTCCATCCTTGGAAATACTCAAGAGCTTGACTGGAGAAGATCTTAAGCAATACACTCTACTGCATCTGCTTTGAGCAGGTGTTTACTAAAGACCTCAGAGGTCCTCTCCAATCTACATTATTCTACGTTAAGCCTGCTGTGTGAATACAGAACGTATCTCTTCGGATGAACCCTAAGGCATCGTCTGTCATCCACTTCCAAAACCTACTTCCAAAACCCAGGATTTTTATTACTACTTGACAAATGGGTAACCACTACCTCCTTCAGTTAAACGTGAAGTGAATCGTTAGATCTCAGCCAAAGAGACTCCTCTATCTATCCTCTTACAGGTTAGGTACACGAAATCTCCGGTTCCAATTCCTTAGGGCTATTACCTTCACTTTCTTGAGCACCTCAAATCCTTCAATCTTCCCAATTCGGAAGTGATTCAAGTCAACATCCTGAAAGAGAAACAGAGGGATTCAGCAGTTGTTTCAAAATACTCTTCAAAGGTCAACCTTCTTTGACTTTGAAAGGAAGTTTTAACAAGTTGCTCATTTTGTAAGACTATAATCTTCCTGAGAACAAAGACCTTGTGAAAATTGGGTTTGGCACATGATTTTACCGCCATAGGTGAAGCACGTGGCCTAAGCTTGCCAACTGCAAACACAGTATCTGCAAAAAGGCAACAGTCCTTTCCCAAGCCTGAGTAATGTTATGCCAAAATTAGTGTTTTTTTCTAATTCTTAAATTCTGAATTTACTGAGACAGCCAAATTCTGCTGTCTAGCATGAATAAAGTGTTGCATAAAATTCTCTTACACACTTTGCTAGGGCATACCTTGCTATTTCCAGTTCCAGGCCTCAGATGAACAGAAACCACTGATAGTTCAAATAACCTGATCGTTCTGTGAACATTAACTCTGCACTGGCAACCAGCTGATGCACTTCACATCTGTGCTGCCCAGCCCCAGATGTTCCAGTTTTGCAGACCAGTCAAAGAGAAACAGAGCACTTCACCCAAGTTCAACAACTCTCCAGCTAACGGGCTCTTGAGGCTGCCTATGCCAACGCACAAGACTGGTCAAGTAACTATGCCTATTACAAATCATGGGTCTGACAGCAACAATCATTTCATTAAATATATTCCCACTAAAACTTGTAGCCCGTGAATAATGCTGTAGCATTCCCCCCCTTTCAGTGCCTCCATGCTTAATTTAAAATTCTAAATGACTAACAAAGCACGTCAGCTACTGACAAAGAATAAAACTCCTCTACTTCTAGTCTAAAGGCTCTAGATCAATCAGGGGAAAGATCATGATAGCCAGCACCTTCAGAAGAATTAGATCTTTTAACCAGGTTTCAATACTTGCCTTTGCCTACCTTTTCTTCTTGCTGTATAAAGCCCATAAGGACAAAAATCTGCCTTTACCTCAGCTTCTGGGTCCAGGCTAATTGTCTCCATGTCCACTGGTGTCTCTGCTTCTCCTGCAGTAGAAGCAAATATCTTAAACTTCTGCTACCTGATAGCTAAAGGCAAGAGAGTAATGGCTAACATCTGGAGAGACAAAGCGAGCAAACACTCCTCAAAAGAAGAAACACACGAGATCAGATATTCTGCTGCATTAAAAATACACTTCACCTATTTGGCTGTCATCATGACAGATAGTAATGAAAAAAAAAAACCAACAACTTTCTTAACAACAGAATTTCATGCTTAGATGCAAAAGACAGAAAGAATAGCACCTTCCCCAGCATGCTTGTGTGGCTGCTGAATAATGCTGGCTGAAAACTGATGTGGGCAGGATTCCTTTTCTTTATGCTTAAGGCCATCATCCCTCTGAAGATACACCATCCAAAGTGCCTGCGTTCCTCCGATAACGTAACGCAACATTGCCAAGAAGGAATCTAAACCGTCTAGTGACAGCGCGAGGAATGACCAAGCATCTCAGCAATACCACCCTTTAGCTTTTCTTTCATAAATACTGTCAGTTTATGTCAATGGCACACTATGGCACGGATCTTCCTTCTTTTGTTGGGCTGAACTCACTAATATGCTAGAAAACATAATCACTGCATACATTTTCTTGGGAAATGTCTTTACAACTCTGGAAGACAGCCCAACATTTGCTGTGCTTCTAGCATAGCACAAGAGGGAGTAAAGTTGACTGGATAGATTCATGCTGAATAATTCATGCCTGATTCCCATGTGTTGAAGACGGTGTCCTGGTTGCATCAATTTCCAATATAAGTCTAATTTGACTTTGCAAAACAGACACACAAAATGCAACCCCTGCTACTTCATGTACCAAAAAACCAAGGAACTTTACAGTGAAATCCCAAAGGCTTTTGCATTAACTCCTGCATCACTGTATCCAAGCTCATTCCATTAACCCAGAAGCAATGCCTATTTTTATAGCCCAGCATGGTTATAACATTCTTGTAAAGGCCAAATGTCCCCTATACTCAGTAAGTGGGTTTCCTACTGATGCTTGGCATTGTAAGTAGTATCGTAAAGATGAACAGTACAAGCATTACAATTTTTAATACTGCCATCAAACTCTAAGGTTTTGACAGTTCCACACACCATTTTCTTTGCTGTATTTGGGCTTCTGCTCTTGCCTGGGCATTCAAACAGGACAGAGCACTAACTGAACTGACTTACAGCAAGTAAGACTGAAAAGGAAACTTTTAACCCTCATCTTTTAATGTTCTTTATGGCATAAATTAGCAGGGAGCATAAAGTATATTTTCAGAATGCAAAATGACCTGGTTGGCTTGGTGACATTGAATCACAGTACAGAAATGCCACCAAAACTGACATGCATACATAAGTCTGTCAGATTTTCACAGTGGGCAACACTTGAATTTTCTTAATTTTCTTCCAGATCAGAAGCTATGCACTTCAGCAGGGGAGTACGATACCCTACCCTGCTGCTATCAAGGCTGCTCTCTTTGACCTATTTCTAAAGTGCAAAGAGCTGCCAGCACAAAGTGCTCCAAGCCAAACAAGCATCCTTGCTGAATTTACAGCCAACAGGAACACAACACAAGTTCAGAACAACTGTTATTTCAGGTATCACATTAAAAAAAGTAAAACAAACTATTCCCCTTGTATTAAGTTGTACTAGCAGTAAGTTAGTATACATGGTGAGGGAACTTCTCCTGTTGAGACTTCAAAGTTGTCCAACAGTAAAGTCAGCCACATACTCAGTAAAAAAAAAAAAATCCGTCAACCAAAAAAAGTTCAAGTAAAAAAATATAAAAAAATCCTTCAACCTTGTTTGGCTGGCAGGCTTCTCTATAAAATTACATGTTTCATCACAGCATCCGTTATAGATCATTTATACACTTTTGGCAATGTGTTAAATACTCTGTTCTGGGATCTGTCAAAGGGTAGCTGAGAGTGAAGGAACTTCATCGATACAAGAACATCCCCTCCTCATATTTTTGTCATATGGCGTTGAGTGACCAACCCTGGTAGAATTAGCGTAAGAAAAAAAGTACACAAGTCTGAAGGCATAACAGGATATGTGTATTGAATTCACTGAAATAAAAGCAATTTAAAACTGAACACAGATGCACTAGCATTTATGTAACAAAACACTCTCCACAGCAGTCTGAGGTGCGTATACTCATAACACTGATAAATCAGTATTGGTATGAGAATGTTAAAGTACATTTTCTCTCAAAGAAGAGAAACAAAAACGGCTCTAGTGAATTTACAGTCCTAGCAATTGTCAACCAACATTTTATTTACAAACCAAGTGGACATAAAGCACCCTAAACTGACCTTTCTACAGTAAGTATGCAAACAGTGCTTTAGCCTGCAATTTTTAACACAGCAGGTTTCTCAAGGGGAAAAAACATTGCTCTGGCATAAAGTCACTTAAGTGAATTTTTGTGTAACCTGTGCCTGTGAGCTACGCAGCTTTACAGATGCAGGGAAAAAATATGACGTTCAGGAAACCCAAATTCCACACTACACAAAAGTAGTTACTGAGTTATGCAAGTTCACAGTACCATAAGCATTTAAAACAACTAAAAGTTTAATTACACTTTTTAACTGCACATGAATGAAAAAGATTACAATTAGTGAAGTAAGATTTCTAAACAGAAGCACTATTCCTCAGAGAATTACTGAAATGATAAATTTGAAGTTTTAGCTGCTTGAGCTCTTTGTATTTATGATTTTCTGTGAAAAATGTGGAATACTCTTCATTTTCCTTGCAGCGGAGAAACAAAAAAAAGCTGGCTGGGGAAACTAACTCAAATGTTCCAAAATTACTCCCCTGCTTGGTTTCTACTCTAGAAGTTTTCTGAATCCCTTGGATTCAGTTTGGAAGAAGATAAAGTAACAATACGGTCATTATGTGAAATAGCATCCAACGTAATTCAGCCAGCACATCTGAATGTCTTTTTCTTGCCTTCATTGGAATAAATAGTAATTCACAAAGTACTGTCTCTAATATTATAATTCCCAGGGGAACAACATACAAAATATAACCTCAAATGCACAGCTAAATTACACCAGCTGAACAAACACTCCGTGTTACATGAATGCAAAGGAACATTGTGACTGACTGATGTGCATGGTTGTATCGAACATACAGCGCTTAGAACGTACAATTTGTCAGGTGTGCTCTTACAGACCTCACCACAGCATTTTTTGATTAGTACATAGGGGTGTTTTTTTACAATCAACAATGAATTATACCTAGACAGAGTTCATCTATAGTTAGGAGACAAGAGTTAAAATTCTGACAATAATTTTCTAGTTCTGAAAATACATTTATAAATTCCAATGGGCAAGGCTGAGGTTAGGAGAGATCTGCAATAGATGCACAGTCAAAAAGGATTAAAATTTGCTGCAGAATATTTGCTTTATTATTTCACTTCCATTTCCAGACCAATAATGGTCACATGAACACACCTACCAAAAGGATGCTATTACACCTCAGATTGTGAGCTAGGGTCTTCAGAATGGATCTGCTCCAACAAATTCTACGCAAGTTACTGAAAAGCAAACCCTTCAACTAAACACGTACAGGCTTAAAACCGTCTGTCAACATTTCTACCCAATGTTCTAATATAAACAGCAAAACAGTAGAAATAGTTGCTAAAGTTTAAAGTTAAGAGCATTCAAACAGATATCATTTTGGTTTCTCTGAATTTTTGAATTAAAAAAAGACATTTACATCTTCCTTCAGTTCATCTGGAAATAGTATTCTTTGCCTTCCAAAGGAATCTGGCAACTCTTCTGGTAAAAACCAACATACACTAAAGCACAATTATAAAAAACAGTTTCTCTTTTTTTCTAACAAACATTTCCTGCATCTTTCCACAGACAGTTACTATGTGTCTACAAAAAAAGTATGAATAAAGATGTTTTGCATTTTGATATTAAATATTTCAAAGCAAAATGTGGATGGATAAATAAGTAAGAAGAAAACAAAGGTCTGATATCAGCAGTTCCATAAAAAGAAGGCAGATTTTAGCCATGATAACACTATCATTTATTTATTTTTAAAGAAGGTTGCTCTAGGGCAGATTCACATTGCTCAGTAATATTGATACAACCATCACGTAGCCACAAGAAACATAAATGCTACTGTAATCACTGGTGAGACAACACTTCCTAACAGCATCATTTAGGTTGGCAAAGTACCTGCGTTCTCACCATTCTGCTCATCTCTCAGGCTCTGCTGACTGAGGTCTGTTACTAAGCGAACTGCTTGCTTCTTCCCTCCTTCGTCTCCAGACTCCTCCGATTCAATCCGCTTATCAACTGCGTAAGATACAGAACAGCAGAATTAGGCTATTTTCAGCAGCGGGGCCGGGGGAAGAAGTAACAAGCAGATATAATAACCAGGATTGACATATACCACTATGCAGTTAGTAGAAATCCTAAGTTAACTAAATGAAAGGTTTAGTCTTAAATAAAAGGCCTCTTACCCCTTGTTTCTACTTTGATTTTGGATGTACTTTTTCCTCCCATCACATCTTCCTAAAACCAACAATCTGGGAAGAAGACTGGAGGAAAAAGGAAATTTCTTAGATCAATGAAGTGCAATTCCAAAGATTACGGAGATGGAATTAGTACTATTACATTTTAAAAGCTTTTAGAAAAAAAAAAATCAGTATCATGTACAATAGTACATATGACACAAAGGTAGTGAAGGCGTCAAAAATAAATAAAAGATCCCTGCAGATAAAAGCAACCATCTCCCCAGCACAACCTGTTAGATCCCTTCAGCGTTTACCCAGACACAACTCTGGTGGCCACCCTGGCCCCGGGGACCTGAAACTCCTCGCACCTCTTCGGTCTCCCCCTCAGTATTTCCTCTTGTTTCACGGTGCGACAGAGGAAAAAAATATCGCCATGCCAGAGGATTCCTTTCTTATTATCTTTAAATTTCTACGCCATTGCCATTTCCATAAACCCACTTCTCCCACCGCTGGCGCCTGGAGCCCCCAGGGAGGGGTACGGTGTCGCGCCAAACCCCATGTAACGCACCCACCGCCCCCCGGACCGGGTGGCCCTCCCCGGCTCGAGGCCAGCCAGGGCCCCCTTCCCCCAGGCAGTCGTCCTCGGGATGGACAGCCGGGGGCTTCCCGGCCGCAGAGGGCCCACCAGCCCCACCGCACACAGGTGGCAGCCGCCCTCAGGCCGTCCCGACCCCCTCAGCAGCCGCAGCCGTGCCGGCCCCCTAAGCGGGCTCTCACCCTCCATCATCTCCTGCGGCCCCTCTCCGCTCTCCGTCGCCATATTGCCTCTCCTCCCACCGCCCCTTCCGGCAACCGCCTCAACCGTCACCGCAGCCAATCAGAGCTCACCACTGGCGAGCGGCCGCAGCCAATCATCTCTGCAGGTGCTGCTCCGAGGGGGCGGGGCAGTGCCCTGGCCGCCTCCACTCGCGCGCATGTGCGCGCCCCGTGGCCCTCTGGGAGTCGTAGTTCTCCGCCCGCTGGGCAGGAGGTCGTCGCAGCGCGATTGGGGACCTGCTCTCTCCCCACCAGTCCCTCGGGCCTGAGGCATCGCGAGCTGCTCTCGGCCTCGTCGTTCCGCCAGCAAATTCTTCGGAGGATGGCTGTTAGCCTGCGGAGGGGCCGCCCATCCCCGGAGTAGAGAGTCGAGGGCAGGCCGGGCCGGGGCTGCCTGGAGCTGGCGGGTCGAAGCAGGGCATTACGTGTGGTGGGGCGGGGGAAGGAGAGGCCGGAGGGAGCCGCGGATCCCCTGACGCCGCATCAGTTTTGCGTCCTCCCGCGCTGGCGCCCTATTGGCTCTCCTCTGTGCCGCTCTCCGACTGCCTTCGCTTATTGGGCGGCGCTATTGAGTGCCGCCCCCTACTTCCTCGCGCCCGCCGGCTGGGTGGCGGCCGCCCTGAGGAGCGGTGGCCGTGGCTGTGGTGGGGCTGGGGCTGAGGCTGAGGTAGCCTGGCGGCCGGTGGGGCTGGGCTGCAGCCCCGGCAGGGTGGGCGGTGCGGGCGGGAGGGAGGGAGGCTGTGCTACGCTTGCTGGCTCAAAACCGAGAATTACTTCCCAAGTTACCAAAGCTTTTGCTTTTAAAACGGGCAGGAATGGGGAGAGGGTGGCTGCTGGGTATTGCTTACAGAAATATGGTGGAGGCGTCCCGTCAATCACAGGTATCCTCTGGTGCCAGGGCAGGATAGCAGTCAATAGAGTACCCTCTGTGTTGACAACGCAGACCGAATGTTGATGCGGACAGGGAAGGAGAGCAGCAGTCTTGCCGTAACTTACAGGGCTGTGCTTTGGCCTAGAAGGCATCATTACCTGCCAGCCTAGTGCCTAGCTGTAAGGCTGACTGAATTTTTTGTTTGTGTTACAGATGGTGGCTCACTAGGAGTGGCGTGGCAACCAGAGTGTCATCATGGCAGCCAAGGCTTATAGTCCCTCTGAAGGGGACCTTCAGCCTTCGTCACTAGGCGTAGCCCCTGCTCACCTGAATGGGTCCGATAAGCTAAATAGATCCTACCCCTGGGCCAACAGGAGCAGGAAAAGTCAGCTCTCTGAACTTGGTCGGCTTAGAACATCTCTGTCTGGTGAGCACAGTATTTTGAGATTGAGTTCATGTGTCATTAGTCAAGGTGAGATCTTTCAGATCTTCCTCTCCCCCATATCTAGAGATGTATATTCTCTTACTAGAGAATAAGCAGCTGCCAGAAAGCGCTTGTTCAATAAGCATCTGAGCTATAGATTACTGCAGGCTGGGAGAGTTTTAAGGGGATGTGTTGCTGGCTAGGTGCTCTGCCCTTGTCCTTGTCCCTGGACAACCTTCGTTGGCTGCTATTGGATCACCCTTGCCACTTTGTATTGTTATCTAAACCACGAAAAACTTCCAACGGGGGAATCTGTTATACCAGATTCTATTAGGAGGCCAAGAGCTTTGCAGTTTACAGTGTATCCAGACACAGGTCCCTGTTTTGTCATGGTGAGCATATTCATAACTGTATGTGGTGCATAAATGCAGAGACATCCTTGTGATGAGTTGTTCATAATGCTCCTTCCAGTACTGCCAAACCTTCAAAGCTGCTTACTGCTTTGGGAGTGGAGCAATGGCATTTGGCTGTTGATGCCACTTCCCAGGAAAACGTTTTTTACAGACAGAACTTCTGAAAATTTTAGTACAATCATTGTGTAACATAAAACGTTGGTGTGGGCACAGGTATTTCAGTGTCGCATCTTGTAAGGAGTTAATTCACTGGCTTCTGACTAGTGCAGTATTTAATAAGTGTTTTAATACTTACTGTCATATTTAATAATAGTTTCAATTTTAACTTGGGAGATTTGAAAACCTTTTAAACTCTGTTAACTTAAGTGAAAAATAAAAATTGACTAGTCTGGTTGAATCTTACTGATGTTGACATTTTTTTTCCTAGCCTGCCAACTGAGTTTAATTGTCCCAGTGGCTGTGCTTCAAAAAGATATATTGTTTCTGTTTTCTTTAGTTGTATTGGTTTTATTTTCTTGTAATTTTCTTGTAATCTAGAAGCATGTATTTTGGGATTACTTGACAGTTGCTTCAGCTGACAACTAATTTTTTTTTTATCCATTCCTCTTAATACTCCTGTAGTAGACTGTTATAGCTACATAGCTGATCTTTATCTTCTCACAGGGGAGAAATGGAGCTCTTACTGTTTATCTTCACTGGCAGCTCATAACATTTGTACCAGCAAAATTGGTAGCTCGTGGGCTCAGTGGGATTCTGTTTCTTTCTCCACTTCCACTGGAAGTTCTTCTTGCTCCTTTTTGCATGCCCTCACTGGGGAGGAATCCACCCAGCACCTCCTAACTGCTGCACGCAATCCGAACAAAGCCGTCTTCACTGTGGATGTCAACACAACAGAGGTATTTGCAGCAGTAACTGCTAAACTAAGCAGGCTGTAACTGCATAGGTTGTATGACATCAGACAGGCTAAAATGCCTGTTATTCTTACGTGTATCTGCAGGAGTGTCATGAAGGCATTTTGTACTCTGCTCAAGATCAGTAGGCTTCTAAAGACTGGCAATGTGTTTATTTCCATTGCAGGTTGTAGTTAGCAAAATATACGAGACAATAGCAGAAGCACAGATGCCTTCAGTCTTTTTTTTTCAAACAGAAAAAGAGAATAAAGAAGAATGCAACTGTGATGTGGCATGAGGGAAGAAAGGAGAAGCAGAATATGCTTCAAGCCTTCTGTCTGTTAAGTGCCAACCCTGAGATGGGTTTCTGGTGGCATGAGGTCTCTTTATCTGCTGTAGTAAACATGCCTTTTGCATTGGGAAGGAGAGAATGTCTTTGTTTCTGTCCTGAGAGTAAACATTAATATAAAATTGAGTACTGCAGACTTATTTGCTGTGCCATTTTTGGCTTGAACTGACAGCTTGGGCTTACCCATCTTAAAGGCATCCTATCCCGACTCGGTCTGTAACATAGGCTTAAGTATGTCAGTGTGAGACTGGTATGATTACTGCATGCCTTCAGGTGTGGATAAAATTTTGTGGTCTGTCCAGGCTTTGTTTGCAAATGCAACTTTGTAGTTTTGCCTCCATGGATGCAGTTATTTAAACAACACAAGAGGCTGGAGCTGGTGAGCAGTAAAAAGAAAGCAAGAAACTTAAAAGGCAAGCAATGTCTCAAACCCTCCTAACCAAAAGGACGCATGGGCAAGGGATGTCCCAGAATAAGAAGCTTTAGTGAACTGTTTTTGAAAATTTCAAACTTTGAAAGAAACCACTCCATTTCCACCAAGAGAAAGGTATATTATAAGATATTAAAGCAACAACCTGAGGAGGTGATAATCTGTTAACAAAATTTACAACTTTGTTTTGTTCTGGTGTTTAATTTTTTCCCCTCTTTTCTAGATCCTAGTGGCTAATGACAAAGCCTGCAAGCTGCTTGGCTGCAGTAGTCAGGAACTCATTGGTCAAAAGCTGTCTCGTTTGATATCCAAATCCAGTCAAGAAGTATGGGAAGCTGTGGGTGAAGACTACATAGAAACTGATGAATGTTCATTGGTGGTTTCAGGAACAGTGGTATGTGAAATGTTCAAGTAAATATGCCCCACCATATACAGTGTTTTTATAGGCTTTGGTTTGGGTATTTGGGGTTGGGGTTTTTCAATATAATTTCCTGATATATTTAACTTTGTGGGTATTTGGCAATTATGTCATTTGTAGGACTGTTTTGTTTAAAAGTTTGCAGATGTGGGAATTCAAAGGACAAAAGATGGTTTGGAAAGCCTTGTGGAGAGCCTTGTGGCTGCCAGTATGTATAGTCATGAAGGCTTGACCAAATCAGAACTTAAAGGGCATTAGATAAAAAAATAATTAATATAGATTGCTTAATGTGGCAAAGCCTATTATGGAAAAGTTCCCAATTGCCTAGTCTTTTAAAATATTCTTAAAATTATCTTAAATTGCATCGTGCATATTATAAAGTTACAAAGTCCATTATAAAGTTCAAAACGTCTGTGCCAAAGCACCCTAGCTGGTGCAAAAAAGTGGAATTGATATTTTGCCTGTAGTGGTGACATTTATAAGAGAACTGTATGAGAAATGTCTGAAAATTGTTTTCTTTCACTGCTGTCGTGAGCTGTCACTAGAAAATATTTGGAAAATGAGCTCCTATTCTTCCTGGTGTGTTATTTTTATACTGAAATTGTCAGCATCTCAGAGCTTGATCTTCCTAAATCCGCAATTAGATGGAGGGGAAGGGAGGTGGAAGTATCTAAGTTTGATTCAGTGAAATCCAGGATTAAAGTTAAATGTCTGATAAAGGCACTAATTCTAAGCTACAGCCATTCCAAGTACATTATAGGAGTTACTGTGTAATTCATAAACCCTTTCTGTCAAGATCACGTAAAAATTATAAAAGGCTTGATATGAACACTGCAGATTATAAGGTAGGCATTTTCTGGTTTGAGAAGAGTCTCATCCCATAAGAAATTAAACTGCTGGTTTTGCAGCTTAAAGTAAGAACTGTGTTCTAATGTGGAGTATTCATTAGTACCATAGAACATCTCTGAAAGGCACTTCTCATTGAAGGCACAAGTATTAAACTGACACATTTATTATGCTGAAGGAAATGCCTTTAGCCTTCCTGAGGTGGGGAAAGAAAATATAAAAGCAACAGTGACTTTTTGTGTATGATCAGTGAATTATTTGCGAACCTTTTCATGTCTATATTAAAACTGTATTTCTAATAAAAAACTAGTAAGTAGTCAAGAAACAATGTTTTTCTAACAATGACGGGGAGATGTCTTGGCATAATATCTTATTCTTGTTTGAAATTCTTGCTAAGTAACCATAATCTTACTAAATTACGACTACATCTCTGAACCCTACGGAAAGGTGGATGTGATAGGCCGTCTCAAAGAGAAGATCCCTGTCTCAGTCTGGCTGAGGCGAATAAGAAGCAAGGACAACCAGTGTTGTGTCGTTGTGCTGGAACCAGTGGAAAGACTTTCAGCTTCTGTTTCCTTCAGGGATGATGTAAGTGTTTTCCTAATGATGAAATGAGGCCACAGTTTGTGAGAGTGTTTGTGCAAATGAAACGTGTCTAAAAGGCAGTAGGCACATTACTATTTTGTGAACGTGAAGTGTGTACATGGCACTATGTGAAACTGGGATTGCATATGCAGGACCTGTGTGTATTTTACCCATGCTCACCTTGACATATTTGATAAATCCCATTCAAATACACTGTCACCCAGGGACATCTCAGATTTGAACAGTGATGGTTTGGCAAAGTGTTGGTCATTCATGTCAGGGATGCCATTGTGAAGGGATCGGCTTGCTGAGGAGAAGTTCTGTGAGGAACGCTGGACTCCCCTGCTTCTCCCCCATGGCAAGGGGCAGGCTCTCTGCACGATAACGTCAGAGAAGTATTTGCATTATGCTGTGTCTGCTTTTACTGAGGTCATTGTATCCACAAAGAGACTGCAGAATGAAACTTCCTGCTACTTGTTTAGATATTTGCAGAAACTGTTGTTAAAGGATTGAGTGGACTGTGGCTAAAATCCTAAAATTAAAATAGTCTTGTAAATTTTCTTCCCAAGGGAGAGATTACGTCGTGTGACCTCCTTTTTGCCCATCTCCATGGCTACCCAAAATTGGAAGAAGTAGTTGGGCTCCACATAAAGGACCTGATTCCTTCTGTGCGGATCCCTCCTCTAGGCAAAAAAATCCCAAAGGTATATGTTCTCCATACCCTTGCCATTTGGAACATCAGTGCACACTGGTTTACCTCCTTATGTAACAAAAGAAAAACTCTTCAGGGAGAAGCATATGTCCCCTGAAAAAGGGTATGCTGATATGAAAGGTATGAAAAAGGGTATCCACCAAGTTGGGTGGGAGTGTCGACCTGCTGGAGGGTAGAAAGGCTTTGCAGAGGGATCTGGGCCAAGGCCAATGGGATGAGGTTCAACAAGGCCAAGTGCCAGGTCCTGCACTTGGGTCACACCAACACCATGCAGTGCTACAGGCTGGGGGAAGAATAGCTGGAGCTGCCTGGCAGAAAAGGTGTTGGTCGACTGTCAGCTGAACACGAGCCAGCAGTGTGCCCAGGTGGTCAAGAAGGCCACCAGCATCCTGGCCTGTGTCAGGAACAGTGTGGTGAGCAGGACCCAAGAGGTGATCATCCCCCTGTACTGGGCACTGGTGAGGCCTCACCTCGAGTGCTGTGTCCAGTTTTGGGCTCCCTACCATAAAAAAGACATTGAGGGGCTGGGGCGGGTCCAGAGAAGGGCAACAAAGATGGTGAGGGGTCTGGAGCACAAGTCTCCTGAGGAGAGGCTGAGGGAGCTGGGGGTGTTCAGCCTGGAGAAAAGGAGGCTGAGGGGAGACCTTCTCGCTCTCTCCAACTCCCTGAAAGGAGGGTGTAGCCAGGGGGGGTCGGTCTCTTCTCCCAAGTTACAGGCGATGGGACAAGAGGAAACGACCTCAAGTTGTGCCAGGGGAGGTTCACGTTGGGTATTAGGAAAAATTTTTACAATGAAAGGTTATCAAGTGTTGGAAGAGGCTGCTCAGGGCAGTGGTGGATTCACCATCCCTGGAGGTATTTAAAAGCTGGGCAGATGTAGTGCTGAGGGGCATGGGTTAGTGATGATTTGGGCAGTGTTGGGTTGATGGTCAGAGTCTATGATCTGTGAGGTCCCTTCCAACCCTGACAATTCTATGATTCTGTGCTGCTTATTTATGGAGCTGCTGCCTGAATATTTCCTAAATAGGAACAAGACCAAGCCCTCACCTCTCACTGTGGAGTCTGTCCTGATGAAAGAAAATTTTCTCCAATCCTGGCTTTTTAAGAAACCATGCTGTCTCTGTCAGTTCCCTAAAAATCCTTTGAATTCTTTAGCTGATTTCTGCCATGTCTGTCTGAGAAGTCTAAAGAATACCCAGAACTCGTAAACGGGCGGCTAGATAGTTGAAGGAGGCCTTATTAATGCCTCGTTTGCTGAAAAGCTGCAGCATGGACCTTTCTGGTCTTCATCATCAGGATATTCGTACAGGAGTTCAATCATACTGGATTCCAAATCTAAGAAAACCACAATTTGTTCATTTTGATATTCACATTTCTCCTTTCCTCCACCTTTTTCCCCAGAAGGCTCCTGTGTAATTTGATATGAATACTGAAATAAAATCATCTGGTTAGTTAGAGGTTTGCTGTTTGTTTTGATTTGGGTTTATTGTGTTTGTTTGGTTTTTTTTGCCTTAATTTAGAACCTCAGGATCCAGCAAGCTGTAGGCCAATCCAGAGAGGGTAACAGTTTTCCTCTCAGTTTAAAGCTGCAAGTAAGCCTTCTGGAGGAGGACCAAGCGGCAGTGCAGAAAGATGGTGTTCCGCAGACAGAAAAGGATGGCTCTTTCACAGGCTATCATTACTCTACTACAGTTGTGGTTTTCTCCACCATCAGTGGTCTTATTACTGTCCATTCAGATGGAACCATTTGTGGCATCAAGGATAGTTTCGCTTTAATGCTTTTTGGCTATGAAAAGAAAGAACTGTTGGGAAAGGTAAGACAGGAGTTTTAATCCCTCCCAAAGACTGCTATGTCTGGCAGCATATCTACTGGAATTGTAAAGGTGTCTTTTACGCTCATTTCTGTCTGTCACAAAAGCTCTGTGTTCCATGTGTTCAGTGAGTGAATTGTAGGATGACAGACAAATTCCCTTGCTGTAATTGCTAGGTCTTGCAAGTGTGGATGTCATGCTAGTATGGATTTCAAGTATATGTTCTCTGTTGGTCATGTGGGTCATTTTTGCCTGGCTATTAATCAGAATCAGGTCCACAAACATGGATTGTTAGCATTTGACCCCAACCTGTGAGAGTCAGCTTAGTTTTATAAGGTTTTGTTCTGTGTTTCAGAACATTACGTTCCTGATCCCTGGTTTCTATAACAACATGAAAAGAAGCAGTGACTGTTCTTTGCCATTACCTCCTCTTGATGACTCCACAGGGACAGAGAGCGAGTGCATCTTTGAAGAGGTTGCTGCCTGCCATACAACTGGCTCTGGCTTCTGTAACAAAGGTAAAATGAATAGAAACGAGAAATTTGCCGATGAACATGGGAACTTGCTTTGTAAAAGCAATGTGCCTCCAGGCAGTTTTTAAATTGGATTTCCACTGTAACCTTAGGTGAACAGAATTGTTCAGAATTGTTCACCTAAGGTTGTGCTTTCTCTTTGTGGCTAAGAAGATGAAATTGAATATCCAAGTTGGAAATTACATTGTTAATAGAGCATGCTTTCTCCTTAATGAGCACTTCCCTTTCCCTCCCTCTCCTGTTAGAATCTCTCAGTATTTTAAGACGTGTAAAATAGAGCTTTTGTGACAGTATTGCAGCAGACCTGTAGATACTTAAGACAATATTTTAAGGGAAAGTTCTAATATTATTCTGAATTGGGTCATGTTGCTGGCTAATATTCAATGACACGTTGCTGTGGTGTTTCAGTTAGGAGGCATCACATATTCCTCTGATGCAGTTCACTGTATTTACAAATAATTTATCAAATTTATCCATTTCTCTGAACACAAGAGGAATAAAGAGAAGCAAGGAAGCCTTATATCATAGAATCATGGAATGGTTAGAGTTAGAAGGGACCTTAAATCTGTCTTCCCAGCTAGCTCTGCCCAAAACAGAGAACAGGAGCACATGCACGCTTTCATCCAGAAGAGATCTTCTATGCTGGTTTTGTCTCCTTAGTTTTGGTTTTTTTTTTTTTCCTTCCTATTTTCTTTCTCTCTTTTCTCTGCTTAGAAATGCACATTGGCATTGAAGCCAATGCACACTACCAAAACAAAGAAGAGTTAGTAGACAGGGTGCAATTTCTTAGGTAATTCTTTGATGAAACTATGCCTCTAATCTAGGAGTAATTCAGTTGTTCAGTGAGGAAGCATTTTTGGTACTCAGTCTTTACTATATGGAAGGATTGCTCTAGATTCAAATCTAGATTTGTTCACTCATTGGCAATACTGGGTTTGCTTCATCTTATAAGCTCTTGGTTTTCTCTTTTGATTGGTTGTCTCTGGGGAGGAAAAGAAGTTCTTGTCTTATTCTTTCTCTTAAACATGTTTAGACTCTATAATTTTTGTCTTGCAATTTCAGAGAGTTATATAAATGCAGTCTAAACCTTTTCATTTTAAGTGTTTGGAATGGGGAGTGTGTTTGTGTTTTGGTTTGTTTTTTGGTTTGGGTTTTATTTTTCTGCTGCTATTCGTATGATTGTTTTATTTCCAGACTTGGTATGGTCATTGGCCCTTTTTTAGGTTTCTGAACTCTTCAATCCATGTAGCTAGACCAGGAGGCTAATACTTGTCCAAGAGCTTTGATAGGAAGGCAAACTCCAGCAGCCCTGAAACATTTAGATTCCTGCATTTGATGACTTCTCAGGCCAAAGTAGAGTGGAGTGCTCATATTTGGCTCACTTTGCCTTAGTCAAGTGTTTTATACTCATTTCCTTCAGGATGAGACAAACCAAGGCAGTTCCAAGATTTGATTGGATCACTGTAGTCTCTGAAGCCTAAACATAAAAGGCTAAGTTGGTGTGGTTTTATTTCTTGTTTGGTACAGACAGCAGCTTCTTGACTGCACCTTCAGCAAGCCTTCTGTCAAGAGATGAAGAGCAGAAATTGGAAAGAAGACACAAAGTTGACAAATTAATACAGGATGAGACAAAACAAAAGAATGGGACTGGTTTATGTTCTACTCCCTCACTTCCTCAAGTGACATCCACGCTGTCTAATAGGTAGGCATTTCGTGGATTGCGTATTCACTTTGAAAAATTAAGAGCCATGGTGGGAATTGCCAGCAAAAACTGTTTCTTCACCTTCTATGATGTCTGTGGGAAGGTGTAACAAGAGCCTTCTGAACTTTGCTCTCTTTAGTATCTGAGTGCTATTTGCAAGACAGGTTAAGGTTTGCCTACCTTAGATTTTTGTTTAGATCTGTACAACCTACAATTGTAAAATTACAGGAGTTCCATTTCTAAAGGTGACCAAATGCTTCACCTGTGCTAGGGAAAGTAATTATACTCTATCTTTGCTAGATCAGAAAAAGTGGATGTTAATCTCCTTCGTGGTATCCACCAGCTGCTGTTGCACTGAAGCCAGGTTACCTGGAATGAATTCTAAATGTTATGCCTTCCGGTGCTCAGTGTAACTGTCAGGTCATACATTAAAACAGGGTACTGTGTTACTAGATTCCACCCATTTTTATTGTACCTTTCCTGGTCTTTTACCTGTTGTTGGAAATTCTGCACAAGTACCTATAAGATGCATGTGGTTTATCTTAAATCAAATTTTAAGCCTTCCACACTAACAATTCTAACCCTTGGAAAATATTTACTGCCTTTTTTAATATAGCACAGTTCCTGCTGCTTTTTAAAGAGACCGATAGTCTCATTGTTTCCTTGTCCCTTCCTGGATTTATATCTCTCATATCATACTTGGATTGTAAGTGGTCTGCTGCATGGACTGTTTTCCTACTCTGCGTTTTCATTAATAGAAACGTTTATAAAATACCTTGTGCTGTGAGCTTCAGTGAACCATGGTTAAACTGATGGATAGGAACATCCATCTTCTGTTGGACAGACAAGGGATCTTCTGTTCTCAGGACTGCCGTGTGTATTGGCTTTTTGTTGTGGTAAACAATCTGTGATATATATTTAGAAATTAAGCTAGAGGAGGAAGTAATCCATAGGAAAAGAGTGTACCTGCTCTTCTTTGGTCAAGATGGGATTTATTAGGATTTTGTATGGCTATGCCAACGGCTTTCTGGCTTTTTCTTTTAAACTTAAAAATAAACCACTTGGTGCAGGTTTTAAATAGTGACCATGGTAACAGAAGAGTGGGTAGTATAGAGTGTGATGGTTTTCGCATTTTTTTATCATCATGATATCACTAATAACTTTGAATCCTTGCAATGAAGACAACATTGCTACCAATGGGCTATTAGCCCACCATAGAGAGCCTTACCCTGAAACCTGGCTTGAGAGAATCAGAGCAGTGGAAGAGTGTAGAACAGTGAAAACTGCGGGATCAAATAATTCTCAAAAGATGTTCTTTGCAAGGCTCTCTCCCACGTCATCTGATTCAGAACAGTTGGATTTAGGTCAGAACATGAAGATTCCCATAAGAAGCAGTGATAGTGCAGTATCTAGTGCAGCTGGGACTTGAAATGCCAGTGAGACTAGTATCTTGCCCAACCAATTGCAAGTTCATCATCAAGTTGTCAAGGAAGTAAGTTGTCAGCAGATGTGTAGGTCGCCCTATGAAATGCTGAAGCATCAGCACTCTGCTGATGCCTGAGGACAAGCTTCTTCAGTAAATGTTGCGTTGTCACCTCTTTGTTCTAGGCTAGAAGACAATCTAGATACCACATCCTATAGTCCAATTAAGCTGCCTTCTGATGTTACTTGTAACTCACCTGGAACACCAACAATAGATGAGCCCTGGTCTGGGACAACTTCAGACTGCAGACAAGACTTTCAAAGCCACATGGTTACAGGGCAGTTGTCAGAACCAAACTTGATGTGTGATGCAAAACATTCCAGCCTTGAGCACATTGTCATTAAGAACTGCCTGCTAAATGATGCTTTGTCCTTCTGTGCAAATGGAAGAAATAGTATCTATAATGTTTGCTCAGGAAATAAAATGGGTTTCAGTGCCTCTGCACCTGGAGCTGCCACAAACTCTGCAGAGGTTAAAGAATCTGACACTGAGCTGAACTGTATTTGCTCTGGTCTTGAGGTACTGGGTCTGAATGTTGGTGTCAAGGGGAGCTCAGACAATTGTTTAGATATTACTGCAGCTCTTGTAGGAGCATCCTCCTCTAATGCAGTGGACTTAGCTGTAGGCAATATGCTAACTCAGAAAAACAGTGACTTTTCAACTGGGCAAGAAAAGAAGCTGTCAAATGGTGTTGCCATAGAACATGATTCTGGGTGGCTGGCCTCCCAAAGGCATTTAGAAAACTCTGAAGAATCTTCCACAGCATTTACTGAGAAGCCTGAAACTCTTGCAGAGACTAAGGGGGACAACTTCAGCAGAAACCCACTGAAGAGCAAATGTAATCCTGAAGAAGACTGTCAGTTGCATGGGCAGCAAAATATGGAGATAAAATTAACATCGACCCCAGTGAAACAAGAAGCAGTGAAGTTTGAAGGAGGGCTGAATCCAGCAGCTCCTTTGACCTTGGAGATTCTGGAAGGCAGCTACACTGAGAATTGCTGTCACAGAGATGGTTCACAATTAAGTAAGTTAAACCTATTTCTCCTCTTCCCAAAACTCTTACTGGGATGTTCTTTTTCACCCACATTTTTGCAGAAGGCAGACAATTCTAGTTAGAAGTTCACAGTGGAGAGAAAAGAAGCAGCTCTAGCATCTAGAAGGAAAAATGGCATTTAAGTCTACTCAGAGGGTATTGGAAAAGCAGGTGGTATAAGATAGTTAATAAGAAATTAAGCAAGACTGAATAGTCAGAATTCTTCTTAAAACACAATTAAAAGATTTGAACCTGATAACTTCTGAACGGAAAATATAAGCTCCATTGTACAACTTGTGTTTAACTTCTGTAATGGAACGTGTTTCATTCACTCCTTCAGCTGGATTCTCTGGCTTCTACAAAATCCCCATTTTTTTGTAATTTAGAATAACAATGTGAAATTAATAATTGGACACTGACAAAAGTTTCTTCCAGGGACTGGGAAGTATGAAGGTATCTCTAGAATAGCTGTGCGTTTCTCAGCCCCTCTGATGATTCCTTACTGAGTAGGTGTTCCCCAAATGAATAATGGATTAAGAGCTCAGAATTTTGTCCTAAAATGCCTGTGTTCTTGTTCAATACTCAAGTTTCATTCTACCATTTTAACTTCCTCACCTGTTTCTACAGGTATACTCTATGAAGTGAAACGTGTAGAACTGCAGGACCCTGCTGTACTTTTCTGTGTCTGGGTGGTGAAAGACCTTCTACAGAGCCATAAGGAAGCTGTAGCAAAGACTCAGCTTTTGCTCTCCAGTCTAGCAAGCTCTGCCCAATCTATTGCAGATATTTCTACACATAGTCTTGGAGAAGTAAGAAATTCTACCATTGTATAATACTGAGCATTCCTGTCATTGCTTGATTGTTAAACTGAAGCTAAAGTTGAAAAGTTTTTGAGATTAAAATAACATCATGAGATGGTGGGCAGATACAGCTGTTTCTTTGTTTCCCTATTTTTATGTTAAAAGAAATGTTTCTTTGTTGTAAAAAGGACAAATTGCTATTTTGTAACATTTCTGGTAGTGTGTGTTTGGCTTAGTTCCAGCCTGAACAATGACAGCACCTAATTTGAAATTTGTTCTTAGGCCACTTTAAGTACATCTACAATACAGGTTTGCACTGGTGTGTTGAGATTAATTTTTAAATCAATGTAGTCACACTGGCACCAATGACACAGTACTATTAAAAAAGTAATTAGAGTCTGAAAACTTTAATTGACTGACTTGTGTCAACAGAAGAAAACTGCAGGCCTCTCCTCTCCCTCTCCTCTCCCTCTCCTCTCCCTCTCCCTCCTGAGGGGCTGCATTCAGGATGGCATACACAAAGCTACCACTGCGTAGCTGAACAGTAGGTCAGTGCCATAAAACCAGAACATGGAACTGCTCAGGCCTGTTTTTTGGTTAGCAGTGGGATGTAAAACTGAGTACTTTCACCAAGGGTCTAGAGGAAAAGAGTTATCTTTGATCAATTGAAATAGGTAATGGTGATCTTCTAGATCCCTTGAATTCCCTATACATTCCCTAGATCTTTATGTAGCTGGATTTTATGATGACCTTAACAGAGAAGTACATACATATTTAGATATCACATGTGTAGTGTACAGTGGTGACAGTTCCCAACTCCAGGAGGCTCTGAGCTGGTGTTTATTGAAATGTCCAGAAGATTAAACATGTAGTTTTTCTCCCCTGCCTTTAATTGGTGAGTTGGGAGATAAAGTAGGTATTTGAGTGAAAAGCTTGGATATGGGCAAAACTTGCTATTTGGAATTTTTTTTATGAGACCTTTGAGAGCTGAGTAATAAGGTGACTCTTAACTTTCCTCAGTTCTGACAGTTTCATGTATAACTCCAAATTACACTATTTTTAGTTCTGTTCATCTAGAGTACACTTACCTGGAAAAATTGCAACATTGAAAGCGCCCCACTTCTTATTGATCAAATAAATTTATCATTTGATGATGGACCACAATGAATTACTTTTCCTACTCGTGCAGAGAATTTTGTGTGAGCATCTACAGTGCATATACTTCTGTTTTCTTTACCTTTTCCTGAATTAAGCAGTATTTGTAGCTGTTGACTTAATTTGTCTGCTATGGTTACATTAGCATACAGTTCTGGCTATCAAAATCAGAAAATCCTATTAGCTACTTTTGCAGATGTGTACTTTCTTTTCAGTATTTACTTAATTTTATAAGCACGATTCTGTTGCTAGCTCATTTTTTTTTTTGCTGTTTTGTTTTTTTTTTTAATCTGTACCTAGGCCATCAGATCTACTTCACTTTTTGAGAGTTCCCGAAGAGCTGAAGAGCTTGAAGGATTAAGGGCATGTGAGGGAGAATATGCAAAAAATTACGACACTCTCAGTCTTATTGGCAAAGGATCTTTTGGCTTTGTCTGGACTGCTATGGACAAGAGAGATCAGCAGGAGGTTAAGTATTTCTTTTAGATCTCATTGCAATAAGTAATTATTTAGTATGAAAACTGAAAGGTTAGGGTGTTCATATGCTGTCAACATTACACTATTAAAAGCTGCTATTTGGTAGTTTGAGGTTTTCCTTTGTTTAAACAGAAATCTGAAATCACTAACCTCATGGAAACAGGATAGCAAAGTGTTTGCATTGATGTAGTATATGAGTGTTAACAAGAACAACAGGCGCAAAATGAGACTATGTAGCTAATTTAACCCGTTTAAAGAAGTATACCTCAAGCTTAACAGAATTACAGGTTTTAGTCTTGCTTTACTAAAGAGAATGACAAACTTCGAAGTCTTTATCATGCTATGACTTAAGAATGCAGAGTAGACATGTTGAGGTTATGGGACCCTCCTCTTTTTTTTGGGTGTTGAGAGACAAGCTCTGGTGTTTCTCTGCGTGGATATTAAGTGCTCGTTTCCCTCCACTGTACCTCTATGCCAGAAGTCACCACTGGTCTAACTGGGTCTATAAGACAGCTGCCCTGTCAATGCCTTTGGAATCTGGAGCATTAATAAAAAGAAAATAAAGATCTTCCATTTCTGTGCATTGTTTGGCTTCTAGGACTAAGTTAGCTTAAATATGCTTAAAGATACTATAAGCAATGCACATTCGCTTACTTCTGTCCTTCTAGTAATACTATTCACTAGCACTTTCCCTGGGAATTAACTTAACCAAACACTTAAAGCCATACTTTTGCAGTTGATGCTGAATGCTGTTGTCTGTGTAGGTTGTCGTAAAGTTCATCTGGAAGGAGAGGGTGCTTGCGGACTGCTGGGTAGATGATCCTGATCTGGGGAGAGTTACTCAAGAAATCGCAATCCTGTTGAAGCTGCAGCACCCCAGTATCATTAAGGTACAGTGAACATGGAGTGAATGCAGTTTGAACTGCATCAGATGGTTCCTCGGAATACTTGGTGTCTCGTGTTCCTCTTCAGGAGTGACAAAGAGTCCTATATTAAATCTATCAGGACAGAAAGGTACCTACCTATCCTGCTTTGTCTTGGAGGGTATGTTACAGCAAACTGTTGCTTGCTTTGACGCTTTTACCCCAAACAATTGATGTAAACATAGATTTGAAGGTGTGACTTTAACAGAAAAAAAGCTATATGTTATTTCAAGATGATAGGATGCGTATCCTGGAAGTGTGATGTCACATCTGAAACATGTAAATAATCTGGATACATATCTTGCTTCCTCTTCTTTGTTTTGGGGTTCTTGTGTTGTTTGGGATGTTTTTCTCAGGAAGAGACTTCCTCTTGGTTTTAATTCTGCTCTCAGTTTTAATTATGCTGTCTTTTCAAGAAACATTTATGCTCAGTGAAATGAGACTTCAAAGATTTTAACACACATTGATTAAATCTCCAAGAGGAGAGCAGTGGTCTGAAAAAAAAAAGGCAGTTTGAGGATGAAGCACATGATTTAAATGTCTGTTATTTATAGGTGCTGGATGTATTTGAAAATGCACATTTCTTCCAGCTGGTAATGGAGAAGCATGGATCTGGTCTGGATCTCTTTACATTCATTGATAATCAGCCCAACTTGGATGAGCCATTAGCAAGCTATATATTCAGACAGGTGAGAGCTGGGAATGTACAGTTGCTAGAAGCAGGTAAGACTTGGTTAATATAAGAATCAGAATCTTTCTTAAAAGAATTACTGGCTAATCAGCGGGCATGCAGAATTGGAGTCATGCTCGATACCTGCAGAACTTTTCCTTGTTATTCTGTAGAGATGATTTATGGCTAACTTAAGTTCCACCTGCAGAAATCTTTTTAAGGTTTACCTCGAAACCTGTACCAAAGGGACCTGTCAAGGACCTAACTTCATATGAGGATTTCCTATAGAGCCACCACCTTCTGCCTGTGATTGTAGCAGCAGGATTCCCATTCACGTAGCAGACATATTTTCTCTGTAGAAGGAGGAAAGCACATGGAAGATGCTCCAAGCCTCACTAAAAGCCACACTTTCACTTAGAGCGATGCTTGTTTTAGAATGGTTACAGGGGTAAAGGGCTCTCCTCTTTTTAAGAAATTTAAAATCAAGACATTACCTTGAAGTTTAATATGGCATAGTGCAAAATAACTCACGGTAGTTTATTGTGAGTCAGAAATTTGCCTGAGAGCTGAATTGTCCTTTGTTCATCGAGTTAACCACAACAGCATTCCCCGGGTAATTTGCCCTCACATGTTTTGGAGTAAATTCCTTGCACTAAGGTATGCAAGAATTACTTTGCACGTGGTAACCCACGCTGTGTCCACACTCCTCTTGCCTGGTTGTGCTGATGGAAGGCGGTAGCCAAAGCAGTGCACCTTCTCTGTGTCTGCTGTGCAGTGTGCACTCACAAATTGCAGTCTACAGTCCTTTAGACTTCTGATGGATAAACCCTTTTTCTAAACCAACCTTGAGTTTATCGGGGTGCTTTGTTACTTCAGACCTGCACAGTATTTCTCTGCACAGGGAGCTTTGTATTATAAATAGAAACTTTTCTCCCTCAGCCATCTGCTTTTCTTCCTCAAATGTATTGTGGTAGGGATCACAGTTGTCTCCAAGGTGATATAATTCTGATGCTATTCTTAATTAAGGCACTGTAGCATGAATCGTGCAGGAAGAAGAATGGAATTTAGGAGTGACTATATTATTTATACCAAACTTCACTCTGAAATGCAGTATCAGAGGTACACAATAATATCCTTCTGAAGAAATCAAAGGACCATTCAAATGAAGCTGGGATAAAAATAGAGTAACGTGTAGGATGGTGTAACAGTAAGCTCTGATGCTTCTAACAAAAAAAAAACCCAAGCACATCGTGACTATAGCATGCCATCTTCCTGCACATTTGTGAGAGAAAAGCAAGCAAAGGCTTTAAGTTTCTCTCCCAAGACCAATGTAATACCCACAGCAGCTATGCTGACAGGCATGCCTGAGGTGGTTTACAGTTACCAAAATTAGGACCTATGTCTTGTTCATATAGTGCTAAAATGCAGCTATTGGAACTCTGAGATTCCACACAGACTATCCAGGACACCTCTGTGTAGTAACACCAATTCTTTCCTCTTTCAGCTTGTATCAGCTGTTGGGTATCTCCACTGTAGAAACATCCTTCACAGAGATATCAAGGATGAAAACATTGTCATTGCTGAAGATTTCACAATTAAATTAGTGGACTTTGGTTCAGCCGCCTACCTGGAACCTGGAAAATTGTTTTATACTTTCTGTGGGACAATTGAATACTGCTCACCAGAAGTGCTGTCTGGCAAACCGTATGTCACCTTCTGAAAAGTAATGTTGTGTCTGTCACACCAAAGCAATGTACACCTGGGGCTGGGATAGAGACGCCAAGCTGCTTTGCCATTGGTGCTCTGCTATATCTAACCGCAGAAAACTGCAGTGAGATTTAGGGCACTGCAGTGGCAGAAATTACTTGTAAAGGTTTGAATGCATATAAAGTAGGGCACTGTGGTGACAGAAATTATTTTTAAAGGCTTGAATAAATACGAAGCCGTTTCTGACTAAGTCTGTTGGCAGGCTTTGTTATTCTGGTCAGATGTTTTGCAAAGCCTTGTGCTAAAGTCCATCCTACTGCAGAGCTGAGTTCAAGAACAAACCTATGATTGAAGAACAAGCCTGAAGAGCCTGGATGAGTTGTGCTGCAACTTGAATGTGTCCTTTTTCCTTAATCTTTCATGATATGTACATCAGCTTGCTAACCTCTTCACACCTGTGTATGAACACACTGATGTGCCTCTACTAAAAGCTGCTCTTTTAGAGAGGTGGTATAAGCAAGTACTGCTGTATAGTGTCTATCCCTTACCATGTCTGGGTTTTATACTTCCCCCACTCTCATTTTGTCTGTTCCCTTCTTTCCTGCTTGCTTCCCTGTATGACTTTTTTTGCAGTTTGATCAATGTTCATCTCCCTATTGATTTTTCTGTTCCTCTGGACTCAAGGATTCTTTCCTGGCAGCTTGCCTTGCTGCTATCTTGGATGTGCTGCCCAAATCTTCGCTGTCTTTTCCCTGTTCTCTCCTTCTCCAAGTGCTCTCTCCCTGGAGGCTGGCAGCCTCATACCCACTGCTGGAGGGAAGCCTTACCATCACAGGGTGGTAAACATTAATTGCACATACAAGTATGTTATCTTGCTCTCATTTCATAGCTGTTTTCATGGATCCTTCAGGCAGCCCCTCTTAAGAGGGGAGGGTAGGGCCGGGGGGAGCTATGCAAGGAGGAGAGGAAATCCCTGCTGGGAACTAGGTGGAAGCTGAAGCAGCACTGCCCTGGGAATTCAGCCTGACACTGTGTGAACAAACTGATCCTTTTTCTTAGATGGAATCTAGATAGTTAATATTTATTTCCAAATAATTTTTGTTTGTGAAAGGATGGGAGGGGGGAAATGGAATTCCACTGCAGTGTCTAATCTTCCATTTAAATATTTACTTGATAGTTTTGGATTATGTTGGTGAAGGAGGAGGCTTAAGTTATCATCACCAGCTTACACATGTGGAAATCTAGATGCATGTTATACATACTCATCAACTGAAATTGGTTGGCCATTTATTGGTTGTTTTTCTTTTCATGGAGAAGGATAATACAGGCTTCTCAAAAACATGTGAGAACCTTATTGGAACTCTCACAGATTTTCTATGTTAAAAATTGGAAATGAGGGCTGTCAGCTGCCTGTTTTTCTTTTTAGTTTCTATAGCACACAATTGCGCATTTACAATCTGAGTTTAAGCAAGTTTATCTCTTCATAGGTACCAGGGCCCTGAGCTGGAGATGTGGTCACTTGGTGTCACCCTTTATACATTAGTGTTTGGAGAGAATCCCTTCTGTGAGCTGGAGGAGGCCATGGCAGCTGTCCTGAATCCTCCTCGGCCTGTGTCGAAAGGTGAATTTTTCTTATTTGATTTTCTAAAGGTGCAGATCTCTTGGAAAAAATATGAGTGGTATTTATTCCCTGGAAATAAAGAGTAAGACTGAAAAAAATGCTTCCAAGTGTGCTCTGCAATGATTTTTTTAAAGCTGCTCACTGAAGCAGGGCTATCTGAGGTATTCTTTCTGGGTAAGTTCTGCAGTTCTTCATGCCTATCATGAATACAGCTATCTGCCCTATTAGTTTCAAATTCCAAGTCTCCCATTTATTATGATGACTCAACCTATCAGCTTGTGAAGCTTCAGTGAGGTTTACATCTGAAATCCAGAACAAATAATGGGAAGGTTCACTCTAGTAGATAACTTTAAGGTCAATAATGACATGTGTGTAACGCTAACACAAGTTTTATCTCACTTGAACTATTGCCAATCAATGCCGTGTCACTTTTAGGGTGGATGATAGTGTGTTAATTTATAATTTCTGGATTAATTGTATGGCTTGACCTCTCAGGAAAAGTACCTTGGTCTTGTTTTCTGTTGGAGGTATAGAAAACTAATTGCATGTCAGGCTAAAGAAATCACCAATAAGTTCCCTGGAGTCCTTAGGAGCACTATGGTTAAAAGGCCTCAGGGTTTTGCAAGTGACTGGTAAGTTCTGGAAGCTTTCCCTGAACCCTGAGTGCACCTTTAACCATAGATCAAACATGGGGTGACTGCAGAACAGGACTGGGCTTGGAAACAGTGAGTCAGGGTTGCCTCTGTGGCATTTGCTTCTACTTCTATCCTCCTCGTGTCGTAACTGCTCTCTGTTCCCTGTTTTCACAACCTGGAAATGTCAGATCATTCCCAGAGTTGACCACGTATGACTAAGAGTGTGGTGTAACAGCACTGCACAAGGGATTAACGGGGATGTATTGTAATTCAAATCTGCATTCTTTGAATATAAACCATATCTTCCATTCCCAGCATGCCTAAAATACAGCCTGAGTCATTCCTCTTACTCCTATCTCTCCCCAGGTCTCATGGATCTCATCGCTGGGCTTTTGCATCCTATTCCAGAGCAGCGCATGACTCTAGTGATGTTAGCAGAGGATTGTTGGCTGAAGCAGCCCGTGAACCTGGGTGATTATATCTGGGAAGAAGTATACATCTCTGTTGAGACAGGTGAGATGCTGTTCTGAAGGCTTTCTCCTCCACCTGAGACCCCCCCAAGCACACAGGAATGATTTATGAGACTGAGCAGTGGTTAGCAAGGTACTTGTCATCTGAAGGTCACCTGCTACTAATCCAAAAGTGCTTAATTTGAAGATACGCCCGTTGACCAGCAGGACCTGTGGTTCACCCCTCACTGAGAAATTAATTTGGGGAGGTCTGAATAGTTTATTTAAAATATGTGCAATATGTGCTGTGGGTCCAGGACTTGAGAATGCTCTTGCCCTCTCTATAAACCAAAGGTTGGGTTCAGAATATTTGTTATTTTACTGTGTAGGCATCTCTGTAATTTCTGCTCTATTTTATTATGACTTGGGGGTGCATTTTTTTTTATTTGTTTGGTGTTTTGCGTTGTTTTTTTTTTTTTTGTAGGCCTTTCTTCTTTTATTGTTAGAATGTTGTTCTTAGCTGTGTGCAAGGCCTCAGCGCCTGAGGACTGTGTGGTTGGACTCGGTGATCTCAAAGGTCCTTTCCAACCATGATGATTCTGTGATTCTCCCTAGAAAGCAGCAGATTCAGAAACAGTCCTTGCAAGTGTGCACAAGGAGGCAGGCTCCCAGCTCCTTGCGTGGAGAGGGAGCCATGCTCGAATGCTCCTGACTGAGCACGCAGATCGCTGCTGGGAAGAAGCAGTGGCTGCGGGAGTGCCTGGGCTGGGGTCTGAGGCATCACCACCCTCCCTCTCTGCAGCACAGGCCCCATCTGTGGAACCATTCCTCCCTCACCGCAGGACATGCACCGTCACTCAAGAACCAGCAGGAATTAATTGTGCTTCTCTCCTGAAGAAAGATTGCAACTGCTTCTCTCTTGGTCAGCACCACGCGGTTGGCAGCTCTGCCTGGGCACAGTTCCTCTAGTAAAGCTCCTTCCTAATAAGCATTTGTAATTATTCTTACACAGGATGTGCTTTAATGCTGTGAAATAAAGATTTTGATGGCTTGTGTAAATTGTTCATAACTAAGAATATATTTTTATTGGCTGTTTTGGCTTTTTATATGTAGCTTCTCTCTTTCTGAAAAGTGAATGAACCTTTGTCTCGGTTGATTGACCTCTGCCTGTTGTTTGGAGTTTGTGCACAAAGAGGCCTAAAAAACTGCTCAGGATTGCATTGTGTAGGGTTTTTTTTTTCCGGTTTTTATGGTCAGGAAAATAGTCCTTGAGCATAGTGAGACAAAAATATTGGAAAGAAAACTGAGATTCAATAAAGAGAATTTTAACTAGCTCACAATACTGAGGTGTAGGTAATAAGATCATTTCAGAGTTGGACTTCTTGGAAGACAGGAGGGGAAATGGAGCAGTTCTTGTGCCTGCTGCTGTCAGACAGAATCTCTGGACAAGTGAGTCCCTTAAAGTCACCTAAAACATTAAAGATCAGCTCCCTGAATCCAGCTTCTGACACTCCATAGAATAATATAATCATAGAATGGTTTGGGTTGGAAAGGACCTTAAAGACCTGGGCAGGGACACCTCCCACCAGACCAGGTTGCTCCAAGCCCCCTCCAACCTGTCCTTGAACCCCTCCAGGGATGGGGCAGCCACAGCTTCTCTGGGCAACCTGGGCCAGGCTCTCACCACCCTCACACCAAACAAGTTCTTCCCCAGATCCCATCTCCATCTCCCCTCTTGCAGTGTCAAACCCTTCCCCCTCCTCCCATGGCTCCCCTCCCTGATCCAGAGTCCCTCCCCATCTCTCCTGGAGCCCCTTGAGGGACTGGAAGGGGCTCTAAGGTCTCCCCGGAGCCTTCTCTTCTCCAGGATGAACCCCCCCAGCTCTCTCAGCCCCCCCTCCCAGCAGAGGGGCTCCAGCCCTCCCAGCATCTCCGGGGCCTCCTCTGGCCCCACTCCAACAGCTCCATGTCCTTCTGCTGTTGGTGGCCCCAGAGCTTGGAGGCAGCACTGGGGGGTGTCTCCCCAGAGCGGAGCAGAGGGGCAGAATCCCCCCCTGGCCCTGCTGGCCACGGGGCTGGGGATGCAGCCCAGGGTGCGTTTGGCGTGCCAGCGCACATTGTGCTTCTCATCCACCAGCACCCCCAAGTCCTCCTCACAGGCTCTCCAGCCATTCTCCGCCCAACCTGGATTTGTGCCTGGGATTGCCATGTCCCAGGTGCAGGACCTTGCACTTGGCTTGGTTGAGCTTCATGAGGTCCACACAGCCCCGCCTCTAAAGCCTGACCAGATCCCTCTGGATGGCATCCCTTGCCTCCAGCGTGTCAACCACACCACACAGTGCGGTGTCATTGGCACACTTGCTGAGGGTGCACTCAATCCCACTGTCTGTGTCTCCAGCAAAGATGTTGAACAGCAGTGGTCCCAGTACTGACCCCTGAGGAACACCACTCGTCACTGCCTTCCACTTGGACATTGAGCTGTTGACCGCAGCCCTTCGAGCGTGGCCACCCAGCCAGTTCTTGATACACACATGCACACGCACACACACAAAGACACACAGACACCTTCCCCGCACCCCCCCAGCCGCTGGTGGGGGGCAGTCAGACCTCTCGGCCCCCACAGGCCCCTCTCCTCCCTAGCGCCGCTAGGGCCCGGCCCCACTTCAGCCCCGCGGCGGGGGCGGAGCGGGGCCCCGCCGGCTCCTCCCCGCGGCGGCCGGGCGATGGCGGGGC